TCAGGTAAAGAAACTGCTGAGCTTCCCTGAAAACCATATGGGGGGAACTGAAGTACCTTTTCATGAACTGCCGCTGGTGTCGACAGCACGAATGAAAAATCTTTCAGCGTTATTTATTTTATTTTATTCTGAAAGGCAACTTCTGGAAGTTATTTGCATGTCTGAAGAAGTCTTTCCTCCTCCCTTTCTCATGATAGGTGTTTATTTGAAATAAACTGATGTGTAGCACACCCACCCCACACACCTCTGATAATAGTAGAATTTGGGGGAAACCAGAGAAGGCAGACAAGAGGGACTCCTTCATCCGATGCATAGCTATGTTCTACCTCCAGTCAGAGGCAGTTTACCTCTGAATACCAGTTGCTGAGAATAACAGATTGGCAGCGGGGATTAGGAGAGTCGCTCTTGCATTCAGGTGCTGCTTGCAGGCTCCCCACAGACATTGGCTGGCCATTGTGAGAGCAGGATGCTAGAGTAGATGGGCCTTTTGTTCTGACAGGGTGACAGATGCTGTGTTAAAACCATCTAAGAAGACGTGTGAAAAATCCAGAGAGGTCTATCAAGGGCTGTTGGTCATTATGGCAAAATGGAACTTCCAGGTTCAGAAGCAGTATATATATCGCTGAATATCAGCTGCCGAGGAGCAATGAAAGGAGTGAACCACTGCCATCATGGCTGGCTGGAGGCATCTGGTTGGCCACTGTGGAAGGCAGGATGTGGGACTTGGCATCAGAGCAACCTCCGTTGGTTCTTTTAAAAGTTTTTTTTAATAATGAATAAGGTCAACCAAATGCAGATTTAAAATCCTGTTGGTTTTCAGCACCAAAGAGTTGAGCCCATGTTAAAACACACCGGGTTGTATCAAACTAAATTCTGCTGAAAATAATGAAGCCAGGTTAGTCATGCCAATTAATTTAAGTGGGTCTACTCTGAGTAGGACTGTGCTTAGATACAACCCATTGCTAGGCAAAGTCTCCTGATGCTATCTTCCTCCTCTCTCCTGAATAGGAGTTGCTTTGGATAACTTTCTTACTGAAATTCATGGAGTTAAAAATTGCGCAATTCATGGCTGGATCATGTCTTTACAATGTTATGCTGCATAAATGATTTATAATTTGGGATAAAAAATTCTGGAGGTGTAGCTCAGCTATTATATTGCAGCAAACCCAACGAAGTATTTTGTGGCACCTTAGAGTCTAACAAATTTACTGCTGCATAAACTTTTGGGGCTTAACTGCCTCTGATGAAGGGGCCTCTAGCCTACCAAAGCTTAAGCCGCTATAAATTTTAGTCTTTGTAACGCCACACCACCATTTTTATTTATTTAATTCATGCAATTTATGTACCATTTGATTGTAGAAAACCTCAAAGTGGTTTACTATAAAATGTATAGGGATGTCCAGCCCTTACTTAATGTATTAACTTTTTCATAGTGCAAAACTTTGTTGCTATTATTTTCAAAAATCACAAAAAAGGTAAAAACACTTATTATCCCAGAACTTTTGCATACGAACTGCAGATTCCTTCCTATTGGGCTAGTAGGTATCAACACTGCATACTTGCAATGCTTCTATTACAGGTAACTCCCCATTTGCGCACATTCAACATGCGCACGATTGCTGGCATGTGCGGTTTTGGACACTAGAACGGGGGTGGCATAACAGGGCGGGGACAGGCTTACCTGTGTCCTGCTGCTGCACACAGTGCCTCGGAGCGCAACCCCCGCATAAATGGGGAGTTGCCTGTACTGAAAACATGAGGACTAGCGATTTGCTTTCCTTTTTAAACTGAAGGTTGAAAATGTAGAGAAGGGGGCTGTAGTAGCTGTTAGAGGCAACCAGCTCCTCCCATATTATTGTTGCTATTATTATTTATTAAATTTGTAGCAGCTCCCACCCTCCCTGCAGTGATGGTGATGGCGCAGCCTTTAGCTCTTCAGTCGCACACTCCCTCTAGGTTAGAAGTAGAGGAACCTTATAAATGCAAGCAAAAACGCAGAGCCTTGCCAACTTTGTGTGTAGGTTCAAGGGCAGCCGGAAGGACGAAATCTTGGGCATCGCCAACAACCGCTTGATCCGCATTGACCTGGCCGTTGGAGACGTTGTGAAGACCTGGCGGTTCAGCAATATGCGCCAGTGGAACGTCAACTGGGATATCCGGCAGGTCAGCAGTGGGGTGGGGAGCTTGGGATTTGAGTTCTCTGAATATGCATTTCTCGTAGCCAGTCCCTGACTCTTACTAACAAAGTAGCAGTGGAGGCGACAGGGCAGGCAGTGGGGGCGACGGCACAGCCCTTCCCATTTCCCCTTAAGTGGCAAAACGGGACAGGCTGCCCCTGCCTCCATGCTCCATCGTCCCCCACCATTGGCTGTGGATGATGGAAGTTGCGAGTTGAGCAACATTTGGAGGGCACCACATTGCCTATCCTTGCATTAGATTTGATTGAGACAAATGCGCAAGTAAAAGGACATGTCTTCCCTCTCCCCCACCCTGCAGTTTTGGCCTAAAGAGAACAACCCTTTAAACTTTTTTGCTTATTCACCTGTACAAGATTTCTACGCACCATAGGTGACCACCCAAAGAGACGTCCGCAAGCTCAGCTTTTAACCTTCTTTCCCCAGGTGGCCATAGAGTTTGATGAGCACATCAATGTGGCCTTCAGCTGCATTTCTGCTGGCTGCAAGATCGTGCACGAGTACATTGGCGGGTACATCTTCTTGTCCACCCGTGCAAATGACAGGAGCCAGACGCTGGATGAAGAACTCTTCCACAAGCTGACGGGAGGCCATGAAGCTCTCTGACCTTCTTCCACACCCATGGGCTCCCCCAGAAACTGTGCACACTAGGCCAGTCTCTTTGTGGAGGCATCTGAGCAGAGACTCTTAACCGGGGTCAATTGTGCCCTATAAGGGCTTGGGAATACTTACTGGGCATGATAAATATTTCCCAATATGAGCATAGGAGCAGAGATCTGCAGGAATTGTATTCTAAAGAGTGTGGCAATCGGCGTGCTTGTGGTAGAGAGGGAGGGATGTCTTGTCGTGCCTTTTTCTTGGGAGGGGATGCGCAAATTGAACCAGCCTACACACCCCAAATCCATTATCTGCCCTTTTGCATTATATTAGGATGTCTATAGCCTGCAGAACCTTCCTAGTCCTACAGTTCACTCGGGGGGAGTGTGTGTGCTCAGCGTTAAGTCAGCAATTGTTGTGGGGGGCATTTAAGGATATTTTGATGTCACAAAATTATATTGATGTCTATTTTGCTGGGGGATTTGCTTTCTTTGTTTTCGTTATCTATCCTAAGGAACTACAGTGGTGCCTCGCAAGACGAAATTAATTCGTTCCGCAAGTCTCTTCGTCTTGCGATTTTTCCGTCTTGCGAAGCACGGTTTCCCATAGGAATGCATTGAAAATCAATTAATGCGTTCCTATGGAAACCGCCTTCAGACCAGGTCCGGGGACAGTCTGTCCCCCGACCTCTTCTGAAGGCTGGGGGGGTGGGGAAACAAGGGCTTTTCTTCCCACCCCCAGCATTTTAAAAAACCCTGGGACAGCGGAGGACTTCTCCGCTGTCCGGGGCGATCTTAAAATGCTAGTGGGCGGCATTTTAAAATCGCCCCGGGACAGCGGAGGACTTCTCCGCTGTCCGGGGCGATTTAAAAGCCCCTGGGAAGGCAGGCAGGGGGGACAAAGACTTTTGCCCCCCGCCGGCCTTCAGAAGAGGTCCAGGACCTCTTCTGAAGGCGGGCGGGGGGCGAAAGTCTTTGCTCCCCCCCGCCTGCCTTCAAAAGCCTTCCGGGACAGCGGAGAAACGCGCTGCGTTTCTCTGCTCTCCCGGGAAGGCAGGCAGGGGGGAACAAAGACTTTTGCCCCCCGCCGGCCTTCAGAAGGTGTTCCCACCCCGCCGCCCGGCTTCGGAGGAGCCTTCCGAAGCCGGGCGGCGGCGGGAGGTGTTCCCGCCCCGCCGCCCGGCTTCGGAGGAGGTCCGAGGACAGTGGGGAAGACGCGCTGCGTCTAATAGATTTCCCTATGGGCTTTTGTCTTGCGAAGGAAGCCCATAGGGAAATTCGTTTTGCGAAGCGCCTCCAAAACGGAAAACCCTTTCGTCTAGCGGGTTTTCCGTCTTGCGAGGCGTTCGTCTTGCAGGCACCACTGTATAAAAATAAATAAATACATACATACTTGGAAATGTTTCTCATTGTCCTTTCCCCACATTTTCCCACAATGACTTGTTTTGTCTCCGTGAAATAAACATATCATCTCACTGTTCACCTGAAAAACAATATCTGCCTCATTTATGGGTAGTCTCTCCTTGGTTTTCTCTTTTGTTTTGTTCTGCTTCTCGGTTTCCAGGTGGATGATGAGAATAATTCATTCTGCTCTCAGTGTTCAGATATGAGTTGTTGTTTAGTCGTGTCCGACTCTTCATGACCCCATGGACCAGAGCACGCCAGGCACTCCTGTCTTCCACTGCCTCCCGCAGTTTGGTCAGACTCATGTTTGTAGCTTTGAGAACACTGTCCAACCATCTCGTCCTCTGTCGTCCCCTCCTCCTTGTGCCCTCAATCTTTCCCAACATCAGGGTCTTTTCCAGGGAGTCTTCTCTTCTCATGAGGTGGCCAAAGTATTGAAGCCTGAGCTTCAGGATCTGTCCTTCCAGTGAGCACTCAGGGCTGATTTCCTTAAGAATGGAGAGGTTTGATCTTCTTGCAGTCCATGGGACTCTCAAGAGTCTCCTCCAGCACCATAATTCAAAAGCATCAATTCTTCGGCGATCAACCTTCTTTACGGTCCAGCTCTCACTTCCATACATCACTACTGGGAAAACCATGGCTTTAACTATACGGACCTTTGTTGTAGCTTTGAGAACACTGTCCAACCATCTCAGATATGAGTACTGATGCTTATGCTGCCAAAACAGCACCACCCAGACATAATGGAGAGGTAGCAGCAGGCAGGAAAAGCGAAAAAATAATAAAAATAAAATCCCAACAAGGAAAAGGGATGCCAAAGAAGTACAATGGAAACAGAAAAGCAGAAATTGCTACAGTTTGTCTGTGGTCTGGCATGGAAATCAGTCGAGCGAATACAATCAGTATTTTGTTCACATCATCACTTCAAACAATATGTAATCAGTTGCTTTTTTTTTAAGTGTTTGGATAAGGCCTTTACATTCAAATGAATGTAAGTGACATAAATTACGTAGAGGTAGATGCACCCAGTGGCTCAGGATCAGGACAGCTGAGGGACAACACACACCCTGGGGGACAAAAAAAGCACATGGTGTGACTCCCCATAAAAACATTGAGCCCAAGTATATAGATTGCTGCCTCCACTCCTGATTTTTAGTTGCAAGGCATGTCACAGGAACATAAAACAAAAGTGGTCCTGAGGATGTACAAAGGCAATTGGGTTTAGTAGCTATAGTGCTAGGGACATCCAGATTCAACCCCAGCCATGAAGCTCACTGGGGGATTTTTGGCCAGTCATGTTCATTTGTGTTTTCTCTCTCTCTCTCTCTCTCTCTGCCTGACCTATGTCACAAGATTGTGAAGACAAAAGTGGGCGAGGGGAGAGAACTATGCATGCTGCCCTGAGCTACTTGGGGAAGGGTGGGAATCTTCTCCAATTTTGTATTTGCTTAGGGTTGTTGTCATGCAACTGTTTGCTTGGCTGCCAATAGGTGGTGCTGTAGCCTGCAGAGTGATGCTAGCCTTCCAAGAGCTGCTGGCTCATTGCAGCTGCATTGGAGGCCCAAACAAGCTGCAGCAGAACAGTCACAAAAGCCACAGTGGCTCCTCAGCAACCATCCTACTCTGGTGCTGCCACTGCCCACCTCAGCAGCAGAGCGCAGAGAGGGAGGAAACAATTTGGAATTTTGACAGATGGAGGGCAACCCCCTTGTCAATCATGTGAGATAGCAACTATGTCATGCACAAGTACTTGCGATTGCCAGGGCTTCCTGGGAGGTTTGGATTGGCGAGGGTTGTGGATTTAGAGAACAACATGTGCAGGACTCTGGTTGTGATCTCAGCCCAGAAAGGCAGCACTGCAGGCCTTGTGGGTTAGAGCAAGCTAGACCTGGAAGTGCTAATTCAATGGAGCTGCAACTAAATCCTTCACGAGATTTGTGTAAAATTCATTCATTCTCCCCCAAGCCCACCCAGCACGCCTCAAAAGTTCTGGGTTTTGCAGCAGCATGAATGGCAAGCTGCCCAACCACTCCCGGGCCAGAGTGGCAAGAGGCAGGCTGCCCGACTCACGCCTAGGCTTGAGCTGTAGGGCCTCCAAGAAGTAGCAGGGGAGCAGCAGCCCATTGGCATCGCCAGGAGTGAGGATCACTTCATTAGCCGAGCGGTAAAACTTGATTCCATCTGCAGAGAAGACATTTCACAGGTGAGAGGCCATTAAGCCCAGAACCACTTCCTCACCCTGCCCTATAGCGTGGTGTGAGATGAATGACAGGCAAGTCTGGAGTCCATTCCAGAGAGGGCTTTGCTGGCTGGGAGGAAGGCCCCCTAGAATTTAGGATGCTTGATTCCATTCATTTATTCAAGGTAGTTTTACACCACTCTTTGGATAAAAAAAAAAGGCGCCCAGAACAGCAAACCTGCTTACAATGATAACTAGCAAGATTGCAAGCCTGAGGGCAAGGACTACCTAAAAGGCACAACACCAAAGGAAAAGCAATTGGGAGGGAGAAGGAGGAGGAGAGCAAAATCGGATGCTAGTTCTGAATCACAACATTCTTACAAGAGTTCTTTCCGGCAGGGAGAGGAAGAAGCAGACTCCCTGCAGCTACACTTTCGTTGTATGATGGGTGGCAGCCAGGCTGGTCTCCCCCTTCCCATGTCATTCATCCTAGGGAGCAGTTACATCAGTCTCCCAGTGTCCCTGGCCCCAGTGTGACACCCTTCAGCAACCCAGTCCCATTTCTTAACAACAAGGTGTTGTGACAAGAACAGCCAGCACGGCAGCAGACTATGGGGCTATGGGAAATTTCAGTTAACTAATTGCTTCTCTGAAGGGACAGTGTTCATCTGATGAGGAGGGTGCCCACTGGGTCTCTGTGTGAGGTCAGCAGTGGTCCCTCCCAGGGAGCTGCCCTATGGTGCCAGCCCCATTACAAACCCTCCTTTTGAGCAGGCGGCAAGCAAAGGGGTGGGGGATTGTGTTAGAGGGTTGCTTGTCCTATTCCTCCTTTGACCCACAGTAGAGGTAGGGGAGTCTGCAGCTCTCCAACTCCCATCAGCCCCAGCCAGGATGGCCAACGGGCAGGGATGCTTGGAGCTGGAGTCTAGCACCATAGGGAGAGACTGCGTACCACCCACACAGTCTCTAGTTCCTTTCCACTTACCTGCCAGAGCCTTGGCGACATCAATGACTATAGCCACGTCACAGTTGCTTCTCATTCCTAGAAAGGAAAAACAACACATTTAAGGGCCTCTGTCACCCACTCCCGTCGTGTCTCTTTAACGGAGACAGTCCCTCTTTTTCTGATCTTTGCCGCAGAGCTACAATTCTCAGAATGGTTAAACAATCAATCTCTTTTCCTGGGGAATTGGAGCTCTGTGAGGGGAATGGGGTCTTCTAGCAGTGTGGAACAGCTATAACAAATCACATTTCCCAGAATTCTTTGGGAGAAGCCGTGACTGTTGAAAGTGGTGCAGTACTGCTTTAAATGTATAGTACAAATGGGTTCTAGGATGCAGGCCAATTCCAGAGGTCTGGCAGACCCAATAAGGCTTGTGGGTCAGAGCTTCCCTACTGCTGGTTAGACAATATTGCTCCAGATTGACCAATGGTCTGATGTGGTTTAAGGGAGCTTCCTGGGCAGAGAAGTCACCCAACCGGCCAGAGAAGGTCCTTAGGCAAAAATCTCAATTCACAGCCAGGTATTTTTCTTTCTCTACTTTGGGATGGGAGTTGAAGCACTGCAGGCCACAGATTTGCAACTCAAGGAACGGTATGCTCACCACTCCGGACAGCTCCATCCCCCGGCAACCCTGGCGCTAAATGGATGTGCGTCCTTCCCATCCGCGAGAGGCCACTGCGGCGAATTTCTGGCCAGTGGCGCAGATAGGTGCCATGGGCCACAACCTCTGGGAAATCCCGTGGGTCCAGCAGTGGGATCAACTCCAGTTCAGACACCTGGTGTGTTCATGGAACATTAATGGTCAGTTTATGAGGTTTTACCTGAGGGAGCCCACATACTTTCAAGTTTGCTGCCATAAGGAAGGGGCTAGCGGGGAGCCCTTTTCAGCCCAGGGGCCACATTCCTTTTGGGGCAACCTTCTGGGGGCCACATGCCAGTGATGGGCTGTGTCAGGGAACTGCCATCGGAGGAACCGGTGGTGGAAGGGCTCACGCAGGCTGGGAGAGACTCAGCAGCTGAAGCAGGAACCAGCAGAGGGAGAGGTGGGTCTCTGAGGGAAAGCGAGCAGGGGGGAGGGCTCAGGGACACGTCCAGCGAGAACAGTGGGGAGGTATCTGAAGCTCCCATAGGGAGACCCACTCCTCGCCGGAAACTGTCACGCCGTGAGTCCAGAAGACGTGTTTCCGTTAAGGAGCTTTTATGCTGGAAACGATTCCGAAAGCAACCACTGTCGGAATCTGCAAGTGATTAGAGCAGCCATGTCTGAGGGGCTCTGTCACAGACAGAGGTTTGTGGGCTTGAACAAACTCTGAGGGACTACGATTTTACGCACAAGCAGCTCATCATCCCATCACAGGCTGGGTTAGAGGTGAAAGTGAGCAGAGCAACAAATATTATATCCTGGCATAGTAGGCTAGTTCAGTGTTTCCCCAACCTTTTTTGGGCAAAGGCACACTTGTTTCATGAAAAAAATCTCGAGGCACACCACCATGCCAGATGGGGAAAGGTCACTTTTTACTTATGTAAAAAAAAATAAAAAAAAATAGTAACAGCATAGAAGGTAATGGTTATCTCTTTGATGTCTGATGGGAGGGCATTCCACAGGGCGGGCGCCACTACCGAGAAGGCCCTCTGCCTGGTTCCCTGTAACCTCACTTTTCACAGTGAGGGAATTGCCAGAAGGCCCTTGGCACTGGATCTCAGTGTCTGGGCTGAACGATGGTGGCGGAGACGCTACTTCAGGTATACTGGACCGAAACCGCTTAGGGCTTTAAAGGTCAGCACCAACACTTTGAATTGTGCTCGGAAAGGTACTGGGAGCCAATGTAGGTCTTTCAAGACTGTCGTTACGTGGTCTCGGCGGCAGGTAGCAGCGCTCACAGCTTACGGACTGCACCGTGTAACAGGTGTCTGGCCCAGCAGCCTAAGGCGGACAAGCCACTGAAACAGGCATTCAGAATCCATTCATTTCATAAAACCTGCAGGGCTCAATCTCTGTGTTTGTGTGTGTGTGTGTGTTTCTGTTTTGCCCAAGGGTCTGGGGGTGGGAGAGAGCTCTTTAGCATGATGCTTTTAAAACAATTAAATTATCAACAAACAAACCTGATGATACGAATAGCAACGTCAGGTGCTACCGGGGGGGGGGGGAGAAGGGGGCCTACTCGGAAGTAAATACTGCATCCAGGCGCAATTAGCGCTGATTTAAGGTGCACCAAGACTGCCTAAAAACCTCACCAAAGATATGCAACAAAGCGCTTCGTTGCAGAGGGGAGAGTTTGTGCACCGTGGAGGCTGGAGGGCTTCTATTCTACATGCGGGGGTTGGGGGGGCGAGGAAAATGTGCTCCGTGGGGGGGCGGGGAAGGCAAGAAAAGGAGCTGAGCTCTAACTATAGGCTCCCACGCTTGAGCAGGCCCGACTCGGTGGGGCGGACCACCCTCTCTCCTGGAGGAGGAGGAGGAAGAGGAGGAGGAGATTCCCATCCACGGCGTGGCCTCCCGCGCTCCTGAACGGGAAATCTCTGCAGCCCAAGACTCTCCGCGAGGCAGCTCCTCCCTTCCTGCCTTGAGCCGCCGCCAGCCGCGCCCCCCTCCCCAGTTATCTGCTGCCTGCCAAGCCCCGCCCCTCTTCATTGTCCTCCCCTTCTGTTTATTCCCCTTCCTCCATCCCTCGCTTTTTTCCCTCTCTTTCCTTTTTTTAAAAAAATATTTTCTCTTCCCCTTCTTTTTTTCCACCCTTTCTTTTTTCTCTTTCTCCCCCCCCCTCCCCGCCCTCCTGGGTTAAAGGATTTGAGCAATGGGTCTGGAGGTGGAGCTTGTCGGAGGATTAGCCCGACTCGCCCGCCTCCCTCCCACGGCACACTAGGCAATGTCCGGCGGCACACTAGTGTGCCGCGGAACACCGGTTGGGAAACACTGGGCTAGTTCCTATGCACCCTCACAAACACCCCTCTATATTCAGGGACTCATGAGTTCACAGGCACATTCCAATCAGGCAAAAACATTCAAAAATATAAAACAGGGCCGTCAAAAGTTTCAAGGGCCAGATACAGAGGCCTGGAAGGCCCAAGGTTCCCCACTCCATAATTCATAAGGGCTAGAAACTTAGGCTAATACTACATAGGCATTTAGCATGGAATTGGAGCTCATTCCCGTTTTTGTTCCCATATATGACAACTCCTTCACCCTTTTCCCCACCTGCAGCGAGTGCCCTTGATTGGCCCGGATCTGGAGCTGCCCGCTGGAAGGGTGAGGGCGTAGAGCAAAGCGCTGCTTTTCATTTGTCTCCACAACGCGCTGCACATCTTCCAGGGTCCAAGCCTTAAATTGTGGCAGGTGAAGAACCTCCTCCACATCCACGAAGCCATCTGCAGTTTGGGAAGAACAAAACGTTTAAGAACTCCCTTCTTTGACAGCACTGTCAAGCCAGCTAGCTGGACTGAGGTGAGAAAAGCATGGCTAAAAATGTACAAAGCTTTTAAATAAATCCCCCACAACGTTAATAGTGAGAACGGAGCATAATGGAGGAACAGATGCAATTTTAATTCAGAGCGGTGCCAAATGCTAGAGTAAATCCATCTTTAAAAGTTTAATTCAAGAGTGGGTAACCTCAGGCCCAGGGCCTGAATGTGGCCCTGGAGGTCTTTCTATGTGGCCCTCAGAACTCTCCCCAGGCCACCCCCGCCTCTCTCTGTTTGGGGCTGACTGAAATGTGTCCTTGAACTCTGAAAATGCCTCTCGCTTGTCTGGATAGAAGACAGAAAATAGTGGTGGGGTTGAGTGTATGTGTAGAAATGAGCCCCGTGTACAAGTGCAAAATGTACATTTATTGCTCCGCCCACATGTGCTTCTGGCCCCACCCACCACTGGCATGTGGCCCTCGGAAGGTTGCTCGAAAGGAAATGCAGCCCTTGGGATGAACCAGGTTCCCTATTCCAGATTTAATTAAATTCTCTTCCCCTGCAACTTGGCTCTACTGCTCAAGTCACCTGTGCTCTGCAGGGAACTCCTCGCAAAAATTTCCTCCCTGCTCAGAGGGCCTGGGTTTGTCCCAAATTTATTCCAGCCGGCTAGTGAGTGGGTGGGTGGTTCATTTGAACAGGGCTTTAGGCAAGGTTTTCTTTAGAACCCGCTCCACCAATAACTGGCTTCCAGTTTTAAAAAAGGACACATTTGAGGGTTGCCAGCTTTTCCTTTTGGCAGGGCTCTTCTGCCTTTAACTATCCTGTGGCTGGCAGAACAGGAGCAGTGAAGGTTTTTTTCATTTCTTTTTCCCAGGCAGTGTTGTGGGGTGTAGAATGGCAGAAACACTCACCAAGCCCCATCTGTAGCCCCAACTTCTCTGCCCCATGGCGCAGCACGTAAGAAAGAGCCTTGGAGAGGCAAACACCTGCATCCTGAAACAAAGTTTGGAGACGAACAGTGAGAGGGGCGAGTATTCACATTTTTTTACATTTTATGCTCCCAATTTTCTGCAGAGAGCACAAGGAAACACGCATTGTGCGGATTCCCCCAACAACCCAGTAAAGTGAATTTCATGGTTGAGGAAGGAATTGAACCTGGGTCTCCTCAGCCCTAGCCTGGAGGGGGAGGTGGTAGCCAATACTGTGCCCTGCAGATGCTGTTGGCCTCAGACACTGTTGCAGGCTGCAGTTACAGGAGAGGTGGAGGGCAGGGCCAATCCTGTCCTCCATAGACCCTCCTTTTCCAGGGCTCGAGTCTCTTAAAAAGTTGGCACAGGTGCAAAAATTTCACTAGAGGTTGCAAGGAAACGGGAGAAGTTGCCAGTCTTAGAATTCTCCCTTCTAAGCAGCTCTTTCAGTCTATTTTTAAAAAGGAGGACAGGAAAATGGTATCCTCCCAAGGTGGGCTAAAACTAACAAGGCTATTGTATTTTTACCTGATCTCTTTGTCTCCTTTGGTTTCCGTGTTTTCTGCCTCTTCTGGGAGGATTTTGCAGACGCTCCCCAGCGCCTGGTGCTTCTCCATCCATAATGATGATGGCTCAAAAATCCAGAAACCCCACGGGTAGCTGGCTGGGGGCGTTGAAACTACTGTACCTGTTTTCCAAAATCCTTATTTCCCCATGCCAGTTACTTACTGCAGCTTTCCCAGTTTTCTCTCTTCTCCCCTGTCTTTGCCAGGACTCCACTTCGGATCTCAACACCGCCTCCCTCCCCAGTTCCCCAAACCACACGCTCCCGAAGTGCGAGCGGCGCTCAGGAGGAAACCTTGACGTCCTTATAGTCAGCGAGCACGACGGACCGCACAGACTTCTGGGAGTTGTAGTTCCTACTCCCCACCTACAAGCTGTTACTTATATGGTCTGTTCTTCTGCGGGCAAGAGACGCAGCTCAGTGGTAGAGCATCTGTTTTGCATGCGGCAGGTCCCAGGTTCAATCCCTGGCAATTCCCGGTCTGAAACGCTGCCAGCCAGTGCAGGCGATATGGGAGCAGGATGGACCAAGGGTCGGACTTGTTATAAGGCATCTTAGAATTGTAGAGTTGGAAGGGACCCTGATGGTCATCTAGTCCAACCCCCTGCAAAGCAGGAATCTTGCCCACAGCCTTCCCTGGGTGGGCTCAAACTACTAACCTTCTGGTTAAGAGCCAGATGCATTGACCCATCACACCACTGCCAGGTGCTTACCGCCGTCTCCTTGACCCTAGCGGCGTGCTCCTCTACTTGCTGCCATCTTTGTCCTGCTCAGGTTTTTTGGGGTAGCCCACGGGCGAGTGGAGGAGTGTGCTGCCATTCATGGGTGTACCATCAGGGTCAAGGAACAGGAGGTGGCAAACTGCTGGCAACAGCGAGCGCCTGGCAGTGGTGAGGGCTGAGGTGGGGCAAGCACAGGCGGTTTTGCCTCCAGCAGCAAAACATCCCTGTGCGCAGTCTGAAGTGTCTTCAAGGGCAGTCCCACGCACAGCGCATCACAGTAATCCATGCTGGAAGTTATCAGAGCATGGAGTCCTGCGGCCAAGTCACAGGAACCAGCCATAGTTTGGAAACTGTCCCTCGAGCCTCTGAGGCCACCTGAGCCTCAAGTGACACTGACGGATCCAGGAGCACTCCAAGCTACTGGAAGTTGCAATAAAGAACTGTTTTTGGAAGATTTAATTTCTCCAGTGAGATTGTAGTGCGTGCGTGCGCATTTGTGTGTGCAATGAGTGAGCATGCACAACTCAGTCCAGGAATAAAGGTGACCATGAGGTGGCACTGTCCACCTTCTTTTTGAGCCTCCTTTTGTGTGCTTTATCCTGCTTTTTACTACTGGCCTGTGGAAGGTCATTCCAAGGGTAAAGGAGCCCGAGTCTGTGCAGGGAGGGAGCTCGTTTGCAGGGGGATGCCAACAAAGTGGAAGAAACTTTACCAGCTGCTGGGTACGCATGTACACTTTTCTGCTGTTTGATCTGCTAAAAGCCAATGATCATTTTCTGCCTTTCAATGGTATAGGGTTTTCATTCATTCATTAATATTAATTAATTTGCTCTCCTGTCTGTGTAGCTTTTTCCTTTTGCCATAAATTAATGCCCAAGTTTGATCAACTTGTGGGAAACAGCTGTGGTGTTGGCATCTGTGAAATGAAGCTGCTGCCATGATTGCTTGCCACAGGCCCAGCAGGGGGGGATCTGGGGGTGCCACCGCCCCTCTTCCAAATGAGCTTCCTTTCCTGTGAGACTGCAGGGGAAGCAGGGGGCTGGTGTTGTGCCACCCCTCCTTGCTCTGGCACTGTGCCACCTTTTCACTTTTTTAAAGGTGAGCTGGGCCTTTTCTGTGTATTCTACTAAACGCCCCCTTGATCTGCACTGCCACCATAGGTAATTTTTTATCTGAACAAGTCAACAACCCTCATGTAGCCAATGAAGAGGCATGTGGCAGAATACAACTGATTTATGAAAGCTGAATGAGAACTTCCAGATGCCCGAGTTCACAAGTGTATGGTTTCAAATGTCCCAGTATCTTATCTGTCCCTTTATTACAGTTCTAACCATGGCTATTATTCTATTCTTATGCAGCGCATCTAACCAACCCTGCTTCACATCCACCCCCAGCTCTTCCCTCTGATCTCCAGGCCCTAACCGACTCTCAACTGACTCCCTCCCAGCATTCAAACCACTCTTCAAACTCTCAGCCAATCATTGCTCACCATTCACTCTGGTGGAGGACACAGAGTGTTCTTTCTGGGATAGTCTGTCCACCTTTGGTCCGCACCCTGCACTCAGCTCTCCCCTGTGGCTCCTAGATTATGTCTAAAGGCGACAGGATCCACAACCCGGGAAACAACTTCCACTGTCCAGCTAAACCAGGCAAAGGTAGCTGTTGGGTCTCAAGCCCCCAAGCATTGACTAATAGGGGGTCCAACAGTCAAGAAGGTGGTTTCTGCACATGCTGTAGAGGGAAGTGAGGGCTGGATGGGTCTCGCCAACAGGGAAAGGTGAGCTTCTTTGTAGCAAACTCCTCTAAGGGGCAGTTCTCTTCCGAGAGCCTTCCCTTTCCCAAAGGGAGAGGGGGCTTTGGGGGGTCTCATTGTGTGTGAGGTGTCTGTATGTTCAGCAAGCGAGGGGGAAATATTGTGATAAGTGGAGTGTGTTGGATGGGGTGCAGCAGGCTGGGGTGGGTATTACCATGGGCTTAGTGGCCATGCCATATCCCCCACCCCAGTGATTGCCCCATCCTGCCACAAGAAAGCAATGATTTTGGGGGGAGGGGGTCTCTCCTAGATGTCCCCAAGTCCAACTGTTGTCAACCTAGCAGGTGAGGCCTCTTATTTACTCCATAACCTGGATTTTATGCATATTATCAGACAGGGATGGTGGATTTGGAGTTCTCTAATTTCATTATCAGCAGGATAAATATTGCTACGACCCTCTGACTTGGCAGTCCAATTAAGTCAATTCTCTGCCTCTCATCCACAGAGTGACTCCTCCCCCTGAAATCTTTCCCTAAATTAGTACAGGGTCCTGCACCCTTAAGTGAGGAGGTGAGCATCAGGTTTATTTGCACTTCTCTTGAATTGGGGTGGGAAGCAGTTTCCTCCCTCTCCCTGCGTTCAAATGACAAGTGATGCTTGAATCCAAGGAGCGCTGTGAGGAGGCCAGCGGGATCATCCTGGATTTTTTGTGTGCTCTCCAGCTAAAGGTCTACGCCGCCCCCATCTCCTCTTCTGCCACCCTGGCTGCTGTCCCTGACCTGGGAACGGGGTCACGTGTCCACATGAGCTCTTGGATCCTGGCATAGGTCTTGCTGTCCACTGGATAGTTGTTTTTCTGAAACAGTTTTAAATGATCCAGGTGAGGGATTGAGGGAGGCAGGTACCTGCAAAGCTTGCAGTACTAGTAAGGCTTCCCCAGCTCATCCTCAATCCCATAAAGGAGGGAGGGTGTAAGTTTCAGATGGAAAGAGAACCAGGCCCCAAAGGCTCAGCTATTCTCCCCATCCCCGTCCCCAAACTCACCGCCAGTGACAGCCGCAGGAGGCCCATCGGCCCTTTGCCTCCAGGAGCCAACCTAACACTCTGCTGTTCCAAGGCGACCAGAAAGGCCTGCAAGCCCTTCTCTGTGATTTGGTTACCTGAGTTTGGACACGAGGCAAAAGATGAGAACCAAGCTCAGGATCTCCCTCCCCGTTCGGAGGGTGCTTGCTCCCGTCCCCACCCTCTCCAAGCCCATCTTGGGAACTGAATGGAGCCGGCACGGCTGGCCAAGCACTTGGCTCTGCTTAGAGCCATCTACAAATCAGGAAACGACAGCGGCTGGGTCGGCTGGTCAGGAGCCCCATGAAAGGCCTTGGCTCCCAACAAAAAGCCGCTAGGTGAGTCACCCTCTTCTCCCTGCCTGGCCCAGCCCGGCCCTGCTGCTCCAGGGGAGACATACGGATGAGGTTCAAGTAGATGAGGACCCGGTTGCCTGGCAGGAAGACTTGCCCATCCCTGTGCTCTGCTGGCTCCAGCAACGGATTCACCATCTCAGTGGGCTCTATCACCTGCCCAGGAAAACAGAAAAGCTGGTGAGGTGAAGGCACCATGTAGGAAAGATGGCAGCCATTCAACAGCTCGTTGAAGTCCTTGACTCTAGAGTAATGGGGGGAGGGGGGTCATCTATGCTTCCTGGCAGGAACCGGCATGGCCGAAGGTCAAGGATGATGAGGGGATAGTGAGGGGAGCTACAGTCCAGCAACACTGGGAAGGACATAGATGTTTCCCAGCCCTCTCCTACACTCTCTGAATGTGTGGACATGTGAGGCTGGAAGGGCTGGTGTGTGGATAGGGCAGGGAAGAAACTCCCACCACCCCTGGCTACTGGCCATTATTGCTCTTGGGCTCCAAACACACAATCTGGAGGGCCACAGATGGTCCCTGTGTGAAGGAGGAGGTGAAGGATCCTTGCCTTGAGGTTTGGCTGCTTGGTGTCAAGGAAGGGTGAGGGGCTGGGGCTACCAGTTTCTTCCTTGAAGAAGCCAGGTCAAGAGCTGAGCTGGATGATGCTCGAATGAGCCTCACCTCCACTTCTATGACTTGAGCCCGTTTGTCTTTGGTGCCCGATTTTGCTCCTTTGCCGCGGGCGGCTTTCGGTTCGGCAGGAGGAGCCGCTGTAGGGGGGAAATCAAGAAGGCTGTGGTCAAGCAGCCCTTGAGAGTGCCAGTGAAGGCCTGAAAACAGTCCATAGGGAGGGGGAGGAAATGGCAGTAAAGAGGGCTTTCAGGGCACCTTTCTTGGCCTGCTTGGAGTCTTCCTTCTTGGACTGAGCTGCTGGTGTTGCTGGTGCAGCTGTTGCTGCACTGGCCTGGCCCTTGTCATCCTTCTTAGGAAGTTCCTAGAAAGAAGGGAAGGTTTTGGTTGTTTTTTTAATAGGTAGTGCGTAGTCCCTTCCCCCACCCCTCTAAAAGTGGTTCAAATCTAGGGCTGCCATTTGTTCGAATTTTCCCAAACATTACTGGGATTTCAAAGGCGGAATTGACATCTGGGGGGAATTTCCAAAAGGCGGCACTTGGTCTTGGATCTTAGACAAGTCAATGAAAAAAGCGCTTTTGGGGAAAAAATGCTTAACAAATTTTGGGTTTTCCTAAAAAAAGAAAAAGCTCAATAAAGTTCAGAGTGTGCTGGTTTTTACTTTTTAAAATATGGCAAGCCTATTCAAATCCAACCCCACATCCAGAATCACACCTCAGCCAAATGCACTGGTGGGAAGGGAAAGAAGAAGGGGTCAGGGCTGAGATAATTGGGGACGGGGAAGGGGATGTATCCCAGACTGGGAACCCAGCCTTGCTGCTCCCTCCATCCTTCACTTACTAAGTGAATTCCACAACTAGAAGGGGTGACACAAAGCAGTAAACAAAACCAATGAGAGATAGTAAGAAAGTAGAAAAGGTTTTATATTTCACTTTGCTAATTAGAGCGGCAGAAGTGGGGGGGGGATGGTTGTCAGGGGGTTATATTTAGAGGCTGGGACAGTAGAAGGGAAGGACCGGGGGCGGGGGAATGCAGGCCCTCTCCTGGCAGAGGAAACTATGCAGCATTCAGGAGGAGGAGGATAGGTTCATTTGTATCCTGCCTCAAGGGGGCTTTCAGGCTAAATGGCTTCCACACCAATTAGCAGCAGAGCAGAAAATGAGGTTGGCAAAGCACATGAAGAGTCAGTGGAAGCAAAAGTGAAAAGCAGCAGCCAAGGCTAGGGAGGATCAAAGGCTCTTCCCCTGGCTCTGAGATGCTATCTGTGCAAATGGGGAGCCACCACAGAAAAGTCCTTGCACCCAACAGTCCCCAGCCTAGCCTCTGGAAGTAGAGAGGCAGAAGCCATGGGAGATAAACAGGAGGAGGAGAATCAGCCTCCCGGCAAGAAGGAAACCCCATCTCTCCACTACCCCCTGCCTCCCTCAACCACAGTGAGGGCAAGGCCTTTCAAAACAGCATTCCTGGGGTCTCCTCATTTCAGACTGTCTCCTGGCTTGCTCCAGGGCTCTCACTTTCTCCTTCTCTTTCTCCTTCTCCTTCTTCTTAGTGATGGCTTTGGTGGTCTTGGCTGTCTGGAGCTTATCGAGGGCTATGCTGCTCATGTGGCTGGAGGGGCGCTCGTTTTTCAGTTCCGCATGTCTCTGTGGCTTGAGAGAGAGAGGAGTGGAAAGAGTCGGCTCAGAAGAATAGCAGCCTCTTGGCAGAAATGGCCCCGTGCCGATTCCCCAGCCCAGTGGCAGCAGAGATGGATCAGGGTAGTCTCCTACTGCGCAAGCTCTGTTACTTATTGCAGGAGACTCAGAGGGAAAGGGAGAGCGAGAGAGTTGCAATGTGCGGTGCAGCCATAGAGGGAGCCTGGCTTTGGAAATGGAAGGACTGACATGCATCCTAGCAAACTGAATGCTGGTTCAGCCATTTGTGGTCCCTCTCCACCCATACTTCTGGTAAGTTTTACAGCTTTTTAAAATTTATCTAATAATAATAATAAGCACTACATGAGCAACTGTGGTTCATCCTAAAATAAGCAACAAAAAGTGCAAGAACAAGAAGAAACAGTTCCAGAGATTTAGGGCTGGTGGGCAGTTTCTCTATGAGGCCATGGCAGAGGCAAGCCAAATAGCTCTGTGCACAGCCAGCTTCTGCTGCAAACTTTCAGGCCCTAGAGAGGGGGGTTCTGGAGCCCGCTCATCCACCCCCCCCCACTTCCTCTGGCACTTCTCTCCTTCCTGCTTACCAAGCGACATCTTTCCTGGGCCTCCTTCTCCAGCAGAAGTCGCCTCCTCTCTACCACCTCCATGTGTGTGAGGGCAAATGGGCCGAGAACCTGTGGAGTGAGCAGGGCAAGGCTGTTGGGACGGTGAGATATTCCTCCCTCCCTGGACCCACTTGCTGTTCTCCTTGCCCTGGCTGCAGAGGCCTGCGTGCTACAGAAGGGAGGGAGGCAGCAATGTTGTCAATTAGGGCTCCTGTCCCACACATCCCATTCCCCAAAAGGGGAACCTTCTGAACTGCTTGAAGGGCCACAGCCAGACTGACCTCTGCGAGCTTCAGGGCTCCTTCATCTTTGATCTGGTTGTGCGCCAGCGACAAGGAAAGCAGCGAACGATTGAGCCGCAGGCCCTGTGCAGGAGGGGCCAGAAAGACACAGAGGAAAAAGCACAGGGGGGATTAAGTGGCCCGAGGCCAAGGGACTGGAAACAGAGCAAGGTCACATTCTCTGGGAGAGAAGGCCTCGGGTGCTGAGCAGTCCCAGGACTGCAACAACCCTGGCCAAGTTGAGGATGCAACTCTCTGAGGCTTCCAAATACTGATGGGCAAACTCCCAATTTGTTCTGTGAGTACTGTTGGATGTGTCTATGTACACCAGTGTGATTCTAGGCAGCACTGCCAGTCCAAATGGGTTGTGAAAAGCAAGGATGCCTTCCCACTGGACTTTTCAAAACAGCAGCTGCCTCACAAGGGCTGTCCTTCTATAACAGTTGCATGTCTGTTTCAATGGGGAGTCAGCAACTGCTGATCCTATTTTCCTGCATTCCAATCCAATATGTGAGTTGCCTTTTGCCAAAAGTAGCTACCTTGGAAAAAGGGCACCCTAGCCAATGGCATCTTCTGCCTAGGTCACAGGCATGGCCAAACTTGGCCCTCCAGCTGTTTTGGGACTACAACTCCCATCATCCCTAGCTAACAGGACCAATGGTCAGGGATGATGGGAATTGTAGTCCCAAAACAGTTGGAGGGCCAAGTTTGGCCATGCCTGGCTAGGAGAACCAAAGAGCTTTCACTACGCCAAAATTACCAACAGAGACTTTTCCAGCCACACCAAGGAAAAAGGGCAAACTGCTACTGGATCACCAAAGAGCCAGTGGTTAGCTGTAAACTGACAGTGGAACTGCACTCCTTTCCTCCATCCTGACAAACCGCTCTCTCCCATCTCTTCAGTCTTGGGATGCTATTTCTAAACCACCTCCCAGTCTGTCCCTACAGCACTCTTGCCAGAAGCTCCCACTCCTGGCTTTCTTCGGAGAAAGTCACCCTCCCTCCCCTGAACCTCCAAGAGCAGAATGTAGGCCCTGAATCCTTCGGCCTCTGCCTAGGTGCAGAGCTGCCTCAGGCCTCCTCACATCGGCGATGTAGCCAGCACCCACATCTGTGATGTGGTTATAGCTGAGGTTGATGGAGGCAAGGTTCTTGTTTGAGCCCTTGAGAGAAGAAAGCGCCTGTCCAATCAGTAAGGCCGCCTCGTCATCGATCTCGTTGTTCCGGAGGGAAATGTGGGCCAAGCTGAGAGAGGAAAAGAAAGAAAGGAGAGGCCACATCTCAGCAGGACTGGGCACCCAGCTGCCCTAGAGAGGGCCTGGATTACTGCAATTGCACCGGACACATATTTTTCTGGCTCCCGTCTTGCCTTATGCCAAGTCAAACCACTGGTCCATCTAGCTCAGTATTGTAAACACTGACTGGCAGAGTGGCTCTACAGAGTTTTAGGCAGGAATCTTTTCTCATCCCCGGGGACTGGGCCTTGGACCTTCTATGCCGCTGAGCTGTGGTCCTTCCCTTCCTTTGGGCTCTATGTGTGCTAGAGGCAAGAGACCTCCATGCGCACATGCATGCACATGCCCGCACCCAGACACACACAGAGCTCAGCCTTCCACTCCCAATCTCCCCCCAGGCCTCCCCTCAGTTCTCACTTGGTCTCTTCAGCAATCAGCTTGTGGAACACTCGCTCACGCATAGGGTTTCCCTCCACGGCCAGTGTCCTGCAAGCAGAAGGAGAATAGGTCTGCCCACCACTGTCAGGTATTTGCCCCTTTCTGTTATTCTATTGTTGATCTTATTTTTAAAAAGAAAAAAAATCAAGATGGTGCTTGTGGGATCAAGTAACCAGGGCATTCCTGCAGGCAGGAAGTAGGCGTCAAGACTGAACACCTTCCTGTCTATGCCAGCAGCATTTGCCATCTCCTGTGAACTTGGCTGGCTAAGCCATCTCTTCTCAAAATGTGGCCCTCCAGTTGTTGTTGGGCTCCAACTCCTAGCAGCCCCAGCAGCCAGCATGACCAATGGTCAATCAAGGATCATGGATGGTGGGGGCCCAACAGCATCTCAGGGCATCAGGCTGCCCAAAGCTCCCTAGTGCCAAGGGGTCCACCTCAGCCTTGGCCCCCATTCCTACAATTCTGGCTCACTTGGGCCCCTAAAAGCCCAGCCTTCCAGCCAGTTCATCCGTCCGAGAAATGTGTTGCCCTCCTCCTTGCCTGGGCCTCAGCCCTTGCTCCTGCTTGCTGTGATTAACCACCCTGTCTGCCTCTGGACTCCCAGGCTGTTGCCTCATCACTTGACAGAGGGGAGGAGACCCTGGCTGAGGCCTGACAGGCCCTGATCCAAGACTTACTTGAGTGTGGAGCAGGTTGGCACAATGGAGAGGAGAGAGAGGAAGGTGACGTCTGTCAGGCCAACCTTCCAGAGCCTGAAAGGAGAGCAGAGTGGATGAAACTTGGGAATTCAGGAGAAGTATTCCCCTTTAGCCAGCAGGAGGATGTTGGGTGAACCACTAGCCTGAAAGCCATGCCCCCTGCCCCAGGACTTTGTGCCACTCACCGAATTGATTGGAGGTGGGAAAGAGCTGGCAGGCACTTGGCAAAGATACCCAGCATCTTGTCTTCGATTTTCCAGTCTGCTGACAGAGAAAAGCAGGTGGGGCTTTCGTTGGCCTTGAAGCCCCCAGCCCACCCTGCTCAGGGGGCACAAAGAGGGGAGACGGAAGGTCTGTGTGGACCAGGGAGAGGGACACTACTTCACTCACTCCGGATGAAGATCTCCTTAGTGGTTTTGGGGTCCTCATGTTCCAAATCCACCTGGATGGTGGGGCGGAAGAAGGCATACTTGCACTGGATCTGTGCAATGATGTAGGGACCCTCCCTCTCGGCCAGTGGGTCAGGCTCCTCTGTGGAGACAAGTCAGAGCTCACCAGGGTAGCAACAAGGAGGAAAGAGCCTGGCAGCTTCTCTCATGGGTCCGTAAGGAACAAGACATCGTTCCAGGAGGGAAGCTAAGCTGGCAACCTACAGAGCACCAAACCCTTCTGGATTCATTGACCAGACGTGGCCTCCTCTCTGCTCAGCGATAATCTTACCTGGCCTCTTCCGCCTTATCTGATGTCTCTCCATCGAGCAGCTGCCTCTTTGGTCTGGCCATTCCCAAGAGGGTAACATTTTGCTCTCCCATCTGTCTGCACCCACCCACAAAGTGGAAAGGTGACTGTCACCAACCTGGTGCCCTCCAGATGTTAAACTTCCATCAGCTCTAGCCAGCATGTCCATACAATGCTGGGGCTGACAGGCGCAGGGTGTGCTGGCTAAGGCTGATGGGATTTGCAGTCCAACATAATCTGGAGGCCACCATGTTGGGGAAGGCTGGTCAAGTGCCTGCCTCTTTTCCTGTGAAAACGGATGTTGGGGGTATAGATAGCTTCAAGAGATGGCCATCTTTACACAGGAAGCTGAATTGTATCGAGTCAGACCTTTGAGGTCCATCTAACCCAATCCAGGCTTCACTGACCAATAATGGTTCTCTCCAGGGTTTCAGACCAGAAGACTTTCCCAGCCCTTCATGGAAGTGCCATTGGGGATTGAATCTGTGACCTCCTTTCTGCAAGGCAGATGCTCTGCCACTGAGATACTCCTTTTCCTCTAAAAATAAACTCCAGTCCTCATGGTTCTGATTGAGTTAAACGGGGACATAGGAAGCTGCCTTAAAGCGCCTCAGATCATCGGTCCGTCTAGCGATTACTGACTGTCAGCAGCTCTCAGGAATCTTTCCAAGCTCAACTTGGAGATGCCTGGGATGTTTATCATACTTTATGGAATTGATTGCCCCCATGCTGGTGACTGAGGCACTGTAAAAAAAAATAAAAAAATGCTACCAGGTTCAGCATTTGAGCAGACACACTTGTTTGTTGTCAGAATTGTGCCGCAGAGAACTAGCGACATCCAAGGGGGCGGCGGAGATAGCACCGAGAACTGCCTTAAACTCTCGACCCCCAACCCCAGCATTGGGCTCGATTTGTAACTCATGTGCCTCATTGTGAAGTGGGGGAATATTACAGAGGATGTAAAACCCAATGAAGTTATTGAGAGGAACGAGCACCACTCACCCTGTACAGCGAAAGAATTGGGGTGTGGCCTCAGTGTAACTTTTGGGATCTCTTGGAATCCAGCCCGGGTGCAGAGCTCCAAGAAATCCTGCTCCAGGATCCCTGTGCACTGGTATTCCTCTGTGAAGAAAGGGGAGACGCCCCGGGAGGGCTTTAGAGACACCAAGCAGCTGGCGTTCAGATCCTAAGATTGTATGTGGGTGGTGGCAGCTAGTGGCTAGTGTAGAGTGGAGCTGGGATGCAATCCATGCTCAACTGTGGAACTCAACGCAGCAAGCCACCATATAACAGCCACGCAGGATCGTCATGAGACTGAAAACTTCCCTAGAGAGTGGCTGAGTCAAAGCAGAATGAGAGATGGGGGGGGGCAGAGTAGATCTTCCTACCTTCCCCATGTTCAGCCCTTCTGGCAGCATTCCTGGCTTCTTCTTCCAAGGCCGCAGCCTTGTCCTTGGCCCCCCGCTCTCCTTTTTTCCCCATGGCGCCCCTCCCTCTGGAAAGGACTCTGTGAGGACAAAGAAACGAATCATGAGATTGGAGGAAGTCGAGGGCGAAGGTCCCTGAATGGGGACAAGAGCTGAAAGATGTGAGGGCTGGGGGAGGGAAATTAATGAATTCTGGGAGAAGCAGCACAGAGACTTTTTTTGTTGGGGGGGGGAAGCTTCAAGGTCCCTGAGATTATGGCTGATTTTTTGAGATGTTGGAGATCCCTGGAGGGGAGATCTGTTAGATTCAAAATTCTATCAGAAGGCTCTCTCCTTGGCTGAACGGGGGAGGGGGTTTCTATAGCAATGGGATGGGGGTCCCTATGAGGGTCTGGAAAGGGGACAAAGAGGGAGCCATTGACGGTCAGCCATGGGTATACGTGGGGTGGAGTCCCTAACGAGCAGAGGGGCCTCAAAGTGGGTGCTGGCGACTTATTAAGAAGGACCCTAAGGGAGATGGGGCAGGATTTGAGGGGGGGGCTGAAGCTCTCTAAGGCGAGGCTGCGCCCACTTTTATTGGAGCAGGTGAGTCTCCCTGCCAAGGCCACGTGACGAACCCTCTTCCCACCCCCCACCTCACCCCGCCCCGCGCCTCAGAGGTAACAGCGGTATATCAGTATCGAGGTCAGCCCCCTCCCTCAACTCAGCTCAGGCCTCGCACGGCTGTGTAGGCCGCGGTCGCCGTGGCAACCAAACCCCGGCAGCAGCTAGGCGGGGAAAGAGGCAGGGCCGAGGCGGCTGCAGCGAGCCCTGTTGGCCACTAGAGGGCGCAGGAGCAGCGCCGATGGCCGAGTCAAGGCATTCCCCCTCCATCCACCTGTCACCTGCTCGCCAAAGGGCGCCGCCGCCACGCCTGCAGAACGGGCACGTGTGAAGCTCCCCCAGGGTCTCTCGGGGCCCTGTGACCCCTGCAGTGGGGAGAAGAGAACTAGAAAGAGGCATATTCCCTTTCCCGCTTTCCCTGACCTCCCCTATCACCAAAAGGGCTTGATCTGGGTGCTGTTTGCTATGGCCACCCGCTCTCTGGGGAGAGGTCGTTGGGGAAGGAAACTTTTGGCGTGGGGGGCGGAGCAGGAGACCCCCACTTCCCAAACCTTCCCCAAAGGGCCTGACAAGAGTACAGGTTCCCCCATCTCCCCTGTTCATACAACCTGAATGGAGTGGAGGGGGAATAAATAAGGAGATAGACCATGGCTAGGCAGACTAAGGCCCGGGGGCCGGATCAGGCCCAATCACCTTCCAAATCTGGCCTGCAGATGGTCTGGAAACAGATGGTCTGTTTTTACATGAGTAGAATGTGTGCTTTTATTTAAAATGCATCTCTGGGTTATTTGTGGAGCATAGGAGTTCATTCATTCCCCCCCCCCAAGTATATATATATATATACTGTATATAGTCCAGCCCCCCCCCACAAGGTCTAAGGGACAGTGGACCAGCCCCCTGCTGAAAAAGTTTGCTGACCCTTGAGATAGACCCACACTTTCTCCCTAAAATCTTCTCTCCCCCACCCCTGGCCATCCTTTCCATTTGACCCTGCTTAGAAGCCTACACACATACACTAGCAGGGAGTGCCTAGTGCCACCCACAGATTTGTAGGAACAAAAACAAAAAAGTGTTTTTAAAATGAGTAGTGTTATTTGTGAGGGTGGACTCAACATGCCAAAAATCAAGAGAAGTCATGCCAAAGTCATGTTTCAGTCTGCCATTTTGAATCAAAATGGTACCCAGCATCCAAATGTCAATGAAGACTGCCACCCCACCTCAGGAACCTTCATCCTGAACTTGGTGATGCTGTCTTGATTGGTGGCTGAACCTATGCCATAAAACAGGTGAAGTCATACCAAAGTGACATATCAGTCTGCCATATTGAGTCAAAATGGTGGCTGGTGTCCAAACATCAATGACAACTGCCAGTCCCACCTCAGGAACCCTCATGCCGAGTTTGGCCAAATTATATTGAGAGGTGGCCAAACCTATTGTCAAAAAGCCCGCCGGTCAGTAAATCACACCGTTCAAAGTTGGAGTTAACTCTTTATTAGCAAAAACACAATCTTCACAGACCTGGCTGAGTGTCACGCCTAATGAGTGCAGGTCTTATTCCATGAAATCAGTTATAATGTTTGCGGGGAGGTCTCTTAAAGCAATGCAGAGAAAAGAGACATACAGAACCGCCCCCCCCCCCCAGTACCCACTTGGCTGAATGAACTGTGCACTGTTATTATGTAAATAACTTTTGAATGTTGTGACCTGCTTTGAGCATGGCTTACTGTGAAATGTCAGCACGCAAATAGGTGATGCTGTGTGTTTATGTAATATGCACACACATTTGCATTAGCACACTGTGGGTCTGTGCCTGTAGTGTGCAAGTGTTGTTCAGGAACCAACTTGTATCGGCAAACAAGGTTCGTTTTGCATTATGTCTGGCTCCTGCGCCTGCTTCTAAATCTGATTTTACAATACCAGTTTGTTCTAAATGCAGCTTTTAAATGCAACGTTTCTGCTTTATGTGGTGAACCGCTTTGGGACCACCCGTTTTTCAAAAGCAGATTGCAGATTTTTGGTAAATAAAAACAAGCCACTAGTAGCTGTCAGCCCATCTCTCTCACGCTGCACCTTGCTTTGCTGGAGCACAAGAAGTTTTGCCCGGTCTGGGACAAATGCCAAGAGATTCTCTGGTACGTAAAAGAGGCAGTGGAGGAGGTAGAAAACAAGCAGTGCCTGGACAACGATTTGAAGTACCTGGACACCACCTCTCTGGAACAGATCAGCAACCCACTGGGGACAGAGTTCAAATGGCCTCCCTTTCCCCCTCTGCCTGAGTTCCTGGCTTTATACTACTCTTCCCCTCTTTTAAATGCTGCCTTTCTCTGCCCCTTGACCTCCAAAGCTGTCGCATGATTCATGAGGACCCCCCTGCGTTTGCACATCCACATAAACAGTTGAGACAGAGGACCATATGCACCACCTTGAGCTGCTTAGAAAATGGTGGGATAAAAATGAAATGAAATGAAATGCAGGGGCATGGCTAGCCAAGGATCAAAATGTCTCTGATTGCCACAGGACAATAAATGCATCAAGTGGTCTTTTAAAAGTGGTTTGGCACCCAGAAATTTACAGCTCCAGTAAGGTAATGCTCAAGGTCCAAAAAGCAAAATTGTAAAACTTGATTTAAGGGAGAAAATAGTATCTGTTCTGAGGCCTCACGCAAGGCCTACTCTATAATGGTAAAGGGAGGCCTGGGGCAACAAAAAGGCGGGAAATCTGCTCTCAATATGGAGGGGGACAGGGTGTCATAGGCGCTTACATAAACTGGATCCGACAAGTGCTAGCCTCAGACTGGGCAATTGCTCTAGTCTTCTTTGAAAGATGATTTGACTCACTATTGGGAGACCTTAAGGAAATCTCCAAAACATCTAATGAAGCTATGAATACAGCCCTTGAAAATCAATCTGAAATTCAGCTGCTTCAAAAGGCAACTGACGATCTAGCACTTAAGCTAGAAGAAAAATCGGACAGAGACAGACAGAAAACATTAAATGTTGTGGTTTACCTGAAAAAGTAAAAGAGGCGGATATGGTTCCATTTCCACTGCCCTCAGTGGATTTAGAGGGGGCTCATAATGAGTCCCGACTGGGAAAAGCAGAGCAGGTGAATTCCCAAGGGACACTGTGATCCAGTTTGAGCATTGCAGGCTCACTTCAATTTCTCAGGAAGTGGTTACTAATGTTATTAAGCACCTTAGGACAGGTAAATCACTGGGACCAGATGGATTCTCTGGCGAATATTACCAAGTGTTTCAGACTGAGCTCTCCCCATGGTTTGCAAAATTATTCAATTTATACATTATTATACATCTGGGGGGGGTCAGTCCCACAAACATGGAAAATGTTCACTAACCCTAATTTTGAAGCCAGAAAAAGATTTCACAAAAGTGAACTCATACAGACCGATTGCACTTATAAATGCTGCCATTCAGTGTCAACAGTACTGAACTAGATGGATGCCAGTGGCCTGATGTGGTATAGACAGCTTCCTTTGTTCCTCTGACGTAGGTGGGCCTTTGGCCTGATTCTGCCACCAAACACACTCAATGTTCTCATCAGGATACATGAAGCAGGTTAACAACAACATCTCTCACTATCTGTGCTTCTGTTAGACCTGCATACATTGCTGTACAAGGGTCTGCTAGTGTTCCTGCAGCAAAAGGGTGCGAGGCTGGTACTAAAATGCCACAGCAAGAGGGTGCTGGGATCCTCAGACAACAAGTAGATGTTCAGCCCTGCTCATGGATGTCAGGTGTGCGGGCAGGAGCCAGGCCCTGTGACCAGGACTGGGGCCTTCCTAAGTTTGTTCTGAAGAGGCAAGGCACGGCTGATTGGTAACTCACAGCACCTGGTGGCAAGAGCTGGGAAGGGAGATAAGTTTAGCATTTCCCTTCAGCTCTTTGCCACAGCAACACGTTCCCTGCCTTGGGTTCCTTGACTCCTTGATCCTCGGACCCTTGACTTCATGACTCCTTGCTTCCTGACCCTCGGACCCTTGGCTTCCCGACTCCTGGCTTCTGGACTCCCGTTCCGGCTCCCACCCCACCATCTTGCCCCCGGTCCCGACATCCCCAGCCGGGACTTTGATCGCCCATGAACCGGACCGTGACAGATGAAAAGAGACCATAAAACCATGTTTCCTTGTTTAAAGGTTGTAAGCTAAACAAGGCAGCCCTGGCGTGTTGCCTCTTCCTCCATCTTGTTTCTTTTCTCCATTCAAATGTGTGAGTCCTCTTCATCATTTCCACCTTTGAACCAGGACCTCAGATCTATGAGCTGGTGGCTTCAACATATTCTGAAAAGAAGATGTAAGGTTTTTACCTGCTGTTTCCTACCACCCCATTTCCCCTTTCGGTAGGAGGGAGTAGAAGATGAAGATGGTAGCGAAGGGTGCCCTTCATGGTCAAACTGCTGAGGTGGAAGGAGAGGGTTGAGGGGTCTTGGGAGAACAGACCAGGACTTCAAGCGGGCTTCCAGATGGTGGCCATGGCTTATGTCACAAACAGATCAGATTTTGGACCAGACTTTTCTGTGTGTGGGTGTGGCATATTTATCTTCCACATTTTCCTGCTTTTTCAGTCATGCGTGTTTGTTGCTATTCTGCTGCTTGCTGCTGAGGTGTGGGTGAAGCTTGATGGGTGGATGGTCCAGTCTCCCCTACCCTGGAGCAGAGAAGCAAGATATGCAGGAGATTAGGGACTTCTGGTGAGTGGCTGATAGTCACCCACACCCGTAAGCAGTGAAGATCCAACAGGGTTGCAAGGCATTCTGGGAGTATCCTGCTCATTTCCTGCCTCTCCCTTTGAAAAGACCAGGGAGAGAGGGAAGGTCTTCTCTGTTAGCACCCCTCCTCCCCACTATTGGCTTCTTCCCATTTTGGACATCGATGGGGTGGCTGTTTTGGTTTAGACTCTCCAATGCCTTTCTTTTTCCCCTCCCCACCACAGCAAAATGTTTCCCAGTCGCCACCCTGCCTAAGACGAAGCTCCCGATGTTACTGAGTTGGAGGTGAAAATCCGGGAGGAAGCCCTTTGTCCTGTTTTGTCATCTTCCATACACCTCCCCACCCACCCATGGAGATGCAGGTTCTTCCTCCCAAGGAGCCCCCTTGAGGTGCTGGCAAACATGCAGGGGGTTCTCTCCCACCTGGAAGGGGATGGCAGCCACCACAAAATGGCACAGAAAGGTGGGCCTGCGACTGCCGGCTGAGGCCATAGCTAATGGGGGAGGTGTATCTTCTCTGAGATTGCCCTCAGATTGCCCTCCCTCTGGTAGAGTTGAAGCAGATATGTGATGGGCATTTCTGCCAGGGGAATAGGGCCAAGGGTGGTATCAAGATGCCGGAGGCAAGCCTGTCCCTGTGAGAGCTCCCCATTGGGATTTTGTTTTTTTTGGGGGGGGGGACAGAGGACACAGTTAGCTTGTGCCATCTCAGCCATCTTTGTCAATGGCTTCCCATCTGCAAAAAAACCAACCCTTCTGTATTGTGACAAGCTGCAACTGCAGACTAACCCACCTTCCTGATCCTGATCCAACAGTGCAAGGGAACACATCACAAGAGGATGATGGGACAGGAGATGGGGACTCTGTGGATCCTTCTGGAAGCAGATTGTTCTTGCTTAAAACCTTTTGAGATTTAATCTGCAAGTGCTTGACTCCTAGATATATCTCCCTTTTTTCTGCCCTCCCATCTTGGTACTTCCTGGGAGTTCTCTGAAGTGCTGGGCATATAATGTGTTTTCCTGTAATTCAAGTTTTTCCCCCCTTCACAATTCTCTTTCTCCTCCCCACCCCCCACCAATGTCTCCTCTTGCTCAGAAGAGGTGGAGGGTATGAAGGATGCTTTGCCCACCTCCCTCAAAGGTTCAGCAGTGGCCCTGGATGTCTCACCCAAGATTATCTTCCAGACCATCAAGCAGCGATCACAGAAGCTCAGCAGGCTGAAAGCAAGGAGTTGGGGGGTAGGACGGTGCTCTAGCAGGCCACAGGAACGGGGATGTGGGAGACTTGGTATTCTATTCCACTTCCTTTTATGAAAGTTCTGACCCATCTGCACATGGCCTCAGTTGTGAGAGGCAGGTCAATGGGTTGAAATGGAGGGGGAGTATGAATCATGTGACTCTAGAGCCAGAGAGAACAAATTGGTGGAAGCTGCCTGTGTGTGTGTTGAGGGAAAGAATCAAACAAATGAGTTCAAGAAGGCACAGAGGGTGGTCTCCACTGGTGCCAATTTCCTAGCTGCTCTTCCAGAGCAAGTTATTCATGCAGGCTGAGGAAACTGAAGAGGTTTTCATTTTCATTGTGTAAGTATTGCAAGTTCTCACCTCACCCCACCCGACCCTAATCCCCATGTGCTATTCAAGAGCACCCCTCTCTGTTCACCTAGACTCAAAAACAAATGCGGTAAGTTGGGTGCATCCAAGCCTAGAGTGTCAGGTATGCTCCTGTAAAAAGAGAAGTGGCTGAGAGGCCCAAAGCTGGAGAAGAGAGCAAATGGAGGGGTCTTTGAAAAACCCTTGACCACCACTACCCCCCCCCCAATATTGAGAGCCTTCACCTCAGTGCTGTGATGAAAAGGTGAGCAGGCAGGCACATCAGGCAGCTCCCCACCTTCAAAAATAAGTGAGGAGCCTGTGGAGTGGGGAGATACTCCCATTTTGAGTCAGACTGGTGGCTGTGCTGTACTTGGCAGTTGTAAAGTACCTTCCTTCTCTCTCCTTTCTAGGCCAGAAGGCAGCCCTGAAGAAATTTTACACTGGGACAGAAAGGAGATTCTTCTGGTCCAAGCCACCCCTCAGAGCTCCCTCTACCCCACTCAAGCTGTTCCCACCCTGCATCCCACCAAGAGAAGAAGCCACTCCCACCCCTCAAGAGGAGCCACTTTCACCACCACCCCTGTTCCACACATCCCATTCCCCTGCCAGAGCACCTGTTTTACCACCATCTCTGGCCAAGAGGAGGAGCTGGTGACACATCACCATCCTGCAAACATTCCTCCTCTTCCCCCCCCCCAACCTCTCCCAGGGGTTGTGGTGGCTTCAAGACCAACTATGGACATTTTGAAATAAAAAAAAAAAAAGGCCACTGGACTTTAGGATCTCACGCCTGCCTTGGAAACAGGGCCCTTGTTGGTGTTGTCTGGCCAGAGGAAGCTGAGAGTTGTTTTCTGACATTCAGTTGTAAAGGTCTATGTGCATTTTAAGAAAATGAAATGAAATATCCCATCTGTGTAGCTTTTTCATTGTGTCAGAAATCTGTGGCTGAGCTTGAGTAGTTTCTGGGAAGCAGGCATGGTGGTGATGGCCTAGTTGGGGGCTGTTTGCAAAGTGAAGCTTTGGCCATGATTGCTTGCCCCATGCCTGACAGGCGATGACCTAGGGCCACCCCCTATGAGCTTCCTTTCCTTTTTAAAAAATATATTAAGTTTCCATTTTATACTATTAAAATACATTCATATTTTTCCACAGTTTGTTCAAATAAACTGTCGACCTCCCTCCCTCCCATCTCATGGTTACCTTAATTCTTTTTTATATCATAGTATTATATACTACTTCCTCTTTGCATTTATGTCCTTTCCATTGTCAAAAATGTTAACCAATATGTATAAAGGTATATATAATCAACATTACAAGTCTTCTTAAATAAGTCCTGCCAGTGCTGTTAATGGCTTGCAATTGTCCTTCATATATTGTCTAAATTTACTTCCTTTCCTGTGAAGCTGCAGGGGAACAGACGGGTGGAAGAGATGGGTATTGTGCCAACCCCTTTGCTCTGAGGTCTTCTAGCACTGCTCACAATTCCCTGTGCCACTTTTCCACTTCAAATTGTACTGCTATGAGCTGGGTCTTTCCTGAGTATCCTACCAAATACCCTCCACCACAGATCACTTGGATCGGAACAGAAGAACGTAAGACCTCTGCTGGATTCGAGCCAGTGGCCCATCTAGTCCAGCAGCCTGTTCTCACAGTGGCCAGCCAGATGCCTGAGGGAAACCCTCAATACAGGATCCGAGCACAAGAGTACTCTCCACCCCTCTGCCACTGCCCCAGTCTCCAGCAACTGGTATTCAGAAGCATTGCTCCCTCTGACTGTGGAGACAAAGCACAGCCATTGTGACTAGGAGCCATCAGTAGCCCTTACATAGACTAGGAAGAGGCAAGTGGCGGAATAAAACTGATTTATAAAAGAACATCAAATGAAAAAGCACTAAATGAGGGCTTCAAGATGCCTTTGACTACATAAGCTTATTGTTTCAAATGTCCCAGTATCTTATCTGTCACTTTATTACAGCTCTAACCAGGCCATTATTCTATTCTTATGCAGCACATCTAACCAACCCTGCTTCACATCCACCCCCAGCTCTTCCCTCTCTGATCTCCAGGCTCTAACTGACTCTCAACCGACTCCCTCCCAGCATTCAAACCACTTTTCAAATGCCAGCTCAGCCAATCATCACTCACCACTAACATTCCACCTCCCCCTTCCTATTGAACACTACCTTACATCTTCTAATATACCCACCTATTTATGTAATGTCATCTCAATTACTAGTACAGGTGGACATGCATTATTCTATACGAATGTGCCAGGTGAACACAAGGAGCACCCGCCTCAGTCCCTTGTCAGATGGTCTGTCAGGGAGGAGAAAGGGATTCCCACATCTCTCTCCCTGGAGATAGCAAATGAGGAAGGGTAGTTGAAATTATAATATACTGGAGTGTAGCGGTTTGTTCTGGACCAGGGTTCAAATCCACACTTGGCTGTGATGCTCACTGGGTGACCTTGGGCCAAGTCTCAGCCTAGCCTACCTGACAGGGCTATTGTGCAGATAATTTGGGGGGGGGAGCGCAACATACAACTCCTTATTTCGAGGAAAGTTAGGATTTTCATGTAATCATAAAATTAAGCACCAATAAAGGTCCCTGGGACCACAGGTGTATCTTGTAAAAGATGCCTAGATGTTGTGAATGTGGGTGTGTACCTGAGTTGAAAGAGAAGTTGGTTCCATAATACAATGAAGCCCACACACTAAAATTAAAAGGCTTTCCTTATTTCATTTGATGTCCCAGAGGCATGTGGGGCTGGGGGTGTTTAGGGGAACTAACTATAAGGGTAGCCTAGATCCAGCTGCCTGGCCCTGAGAGGGCAGGATGGGTGGTAAATTAAGGGATAGGCCAGGCTCTGACTTCACAACCGACAGTGGGATCCTTCATATTTGTTTCCCAGGAGGCCTGGTGAGGAGACTGCTTTGAGCCTTGGATCAGCTGAAAGAACAGACACTGGTCTTCCTTGGCTCACTTGAAAGTGCAGACATCTGACTTTGGATCCGCTGAAAGCATAGACATCTGTGTTCCTCAGTACAGTTGAAAGTGCAGGCAATTTGTCGTTTCCCATTGCACAATGGGAGGCTGTTTGTCCTCTTTTCACAGAAGGTAAAGTTGGGGGGTAGGGGAGAGATCTTGAAGCTGGGTGGTCCCCTATGGCCAGTTTTTGAAGATGCTCATCGGTTATTAGACCCTTGTAACTCCCATGCTGGCTGGGGGCTGATGGGAGTTGTAGTCCGACAACATCTGGAGGCCACGGGGTTGAGGGAGGCCATTTATATGGAGTGGTCAGGAACACGAGGAACACAAAGGCCCTCCTGTCAGTAGGAGGGTGGAAGTGGTGGTGATGGAGGAGGGAGAGACACTCCTTGTTTGCATTCAACATGCTTCCTGTCATTTATTCCCTCTCTTCCACATCCACAATGTTCACTGCTGGCCAAAGTCATGGAAGAAGCCCCAGAGGGGCTTAAATGCAGCTTGAAAGCCTTTCATATAAAAACACTCCCTTGGGTCCCACTGAGGTATCATTGTTATTTATTAAATTTATTAATCACTTGTTACTAAAGTGTCTCAAAACAACTAAAAATACAAAATACAATAAAATCAAATGGTAAAGTATACATAATATGCAAAATGTCTGTCCACCAAGAATGTGACAACGGAAATCCGTGTCTCCTTCCTTAATGCTATGAGCCCCAAGAAAGGTCCAAAATCAATGGGATAAAAATTTAAGTGGTTTTTAGCTATAACGCTATAAGGAATATGAAAAAATGGATTATTAATAGGTAAAAATTTAATGTTACAATATTTTAAGATTAAAGACTAGGATAAATAAAGAGGGAAAGGATTTGCTGAACTAATAAGTTGAATTGGAATACAAAAAGGGAGGTGTGAGGAGGTCCGGGAAACAAGCAAATGAAAGATAAGTGATGGAAAGATGGAACTGTTTTTTAACTATTTTTATTTTGTATTTTTTCTTTTTCTTTTTTTCATTTTGTAATATTTTGAAAATTTCAATAAATATCTTTATAAAAAAAACACAAAATCAATGTATGAGGCCAGAGAAGCTTTAGCAGACCCTCTTTTGACACCCTGCCTCTCCCATTTGCTCAATCCCCCACAGGAACATCGAGACCCCAAACTTGTGGTCCACCTCAGACCCCTCCCTCCCCTCCTTGCTGGGGGACGACCTCTTCTATGTGTCGGACCTGAGCTCACAGAAGTGGAAAGACACTGTCGGCCGCCATGTTGCGTCTTCCCTGCCACAGCGGGAGGTTGACCACCAGGAAGCCATCAATGGTGAGGAGGTCACTCTGTGGCTCATACTTTGGGTTACTCTCAGAAAGTCATGGGGCTCTAGAAGGATCTCAACTTACTTTAAGCAAAAGTGGAAGAAGTGCCTAGTGAGATCTCTCCTGGGAAGTGGGTCCTTGGCTGTACATGTAGCTTGGAACTTTTGAGTTCTTAAAAATGGCCATTAGTGAAATTCCCTCCAGGCAAGACCCACATGGGTCAGTCAAGATGGACAGTAAAGTTCTGACACAGGGCCAGGGGAGCAGGGTGGGAAGAAGGCTTATTGGCCCTGAAGTGTGCTGCAATGTCTCTGAGGAGGAAGGGAAATCCATAGATGAATGGTGTTTGTGTGTGTTGCACTGGTAACCAGAGCTATCAGCTGCATATTGGTGCCCATGCTGGGGAAGGGACTTATAGCTCAGTGGTGGAGACCATGCTTTCCCTGCAGAAGCTCCCATGCTTGATCCCCGATGGCATCTTCAGGTAGAGCTGGGAACGTCCCCTTCCTGCACCCCTCTAGAGGAGCACTTTCTGCCAGTACTACAACACTGAGCCAGAGAGTCCAATGGTATTTCACTCAGCTTCCTGCATTCTCATTTAAATCAGCGCCCTTTATCCGGTACTATGAGAACTGGAATCTTGTTTTATCTTAAGTGAAAGGGCCACAGCCCCTTGGTGGAACACATGCTCTGCATATAGAAGGCCCCAGGTTCAATATCCAATGGCATTTCCAGGTAGGAATGAGAAGGAAAGACCCCAGAAACCTTGGAGAGCCACCTGCCAGTCAGAGACAAGTAGGCATTGGGCCAGGTGGACCAGGGTCTGACTGAAGAAGGCAGCTTCTTAATGCTCCGCCAACAGCAACACCATGGGCTTGCTCCCAGTACAGGAAGAGAACATGATCAGTCTCCTCTTGAAAGGCAGAACCCAAGGCTTTTTTCAATGAACCTGCTTTAGCTGCCTCATTCCTGGATCCTGCTGGGATTTGACCTCTAGCTGACATTCTTCCCCCCTCTTTGCACAGAGCTGTTTGTGACAGAAGCCTCTCACCTGCGGCTTCTGCGTGTCCTGACTGTCTTCTTCTATCAGCGCATGTTTAGGGAGAAACTTCTTTCGCAGGAGGAGCTGGCCCTCCTCTTCCCCAACCTCCCAGAGCTGCTGAAGATTCACAGTAAGGCTGCCTCTCTTATTCAGTCGGAGCCCCTTTGGACTAGGCCCCCATTCTGTGTCTCGCACAGATCATTGCTTCCTCACAGGCGGGTCAGGAGTTGAGGGAGAGGGTCGCCTCCATCAAAGGCCCTCACTCAGGAGGACCATTGGGGCAGAAGATCAGAAGAGCCCTGCAGGAGGCAGCTAGATAACGCCAAAGGGGGCCTCATCTAGACCTTGAGCGCAACAGCAGCGCTCCCCAGGAACTCCAACATTTTTCAGATAAAAATAGGGACATCCTATTCAACAACAGCAACAGTAATAAATAGTACCCTGCCCATCTGACTGGGTTGCCTCAGCCATGCTTGGCAGCTTCCAATGTATATAAAAGCACAATAAAAACTTTCCTATACAGGGTTGCCTTCAGATGTCTACTAAAGGTTGTATAGTTACTTATCTCCTCGGTTTAGGGGGTCATATAACTCCATACCTTCCAACATTTCACCAATGAAAAGAGGAACGTCCTAAGGAGAAGCGGGACATCCTGGGAACAAATCGTAAACTGGAATGCCTTCTGTAAACCCAGGACTGTCCCTGGAAAATAGGGACACTTGGAGGGTCTGCCAATCTGTAATGGCCAGCTTTGAGGCCTATCACCGGGGGCATGGTACTAAAAAAAGAGATAGAGACCATGTCTGTCCTTCTCCCCCTCCCATCTCTGCTGTGGCTATTTCCCCAGGCCCCTTTTCTCACCATTCCCTCCTCCTGTCCTTTCTCCAGGTTCTCTGTCAGAATCGATGAAAACACTTCAAGAACAAGGGCCCATCATCCATGAAATTGGGCACTTCATGCTTTCCCAGGTAACAATCTCTGAGTGGCTGGGCTGGTGGTGGTGATGCGGCTTTGTGTGTAGACAGTGTTTGGGGTTCCAGTTGAGTTTGGCCCCTTGATTTCCTGACCTGCCTGATTCTAACCAGGAAGTGTTTCCTCTCCCCCGCCCCCTTTGCCCCCTTCCATCTAGGGAAGTTTTTAATGTTTGATGTTTTATTGTATTTTTAATATTCTGTTAGGAGATGCCCAGAGTGGCTGGGGAACCCCAGCCAAATGGGCGGGGTATAAATTATTATTATTATTATTATTATTATTATTATTATTATTATTAATTTCCCCCAGTTTGGTGGGCCTGCACGCGAAGAGATCCAACAGGCAGTCTCTGACTTCTGTGTGAACCAGTCCAAGGCCCTGGAGCTGATCGAGACCAAGCTGCAGAAGGACACTCGATTCCGGCTTATCATTCAGGTATCTATGTGCTCATACGCTAAGGAGGGGGGAGGGAGGGGCTGTCTCAGATGCTGGGTCTGCATTTTCTGTGCGGAGTGCAAGAGGAAGTCCTTGGAAGGCTCTTTCTCCATTCTGGAGGGCCAGAGGCCTGTCCTCCTCTCCCTGCTACCCACCCTGAATGCGGTAGTGCTTCTGAATAATGCTTGAATCCGCAAGTGGGTAGAGTGCTCTTGTGCTTGAATCCTGCTTGTGGGCTTCCCACAGAAATCTGGTTGGCCACTGTGAGAACAGGATGGTGGACTAGATGGGACATTGGTCTGATTCAACAGACTCATCTTACGTTGTTCTCCCCCTCACCATACACATACTTCCAGCCTCAGTTTTTACAATGACAAAACAGCTCCACCATCGACTTACGTCTCCCCCTCCTGCTTTCCTTCTTTTCCTGGGGCATGTTGTTGTTCTTCCTGCCATAGACCCAGATCTCAAGGCTTCTGAATGCTCTGCACTTCTTCTTCATCAGGAAGGTGGTTCTCTAACTGTCCCCTGGATGGGTCTTTTGCAAACCTACACCCCCACCATAAGAATAAGAACCAAAGAAGAGCCCTGCAGATGGATTAGGCCATAGGCATCCTGTTCTCACAGTTGACAACCGGATGCCCCAAAGTGAAGCCCACAAACAGGACATGTCTCCAGTCTCCATATGGTCACAGAAGCATATTGTCTGTCTATCTGTCTCCCCTTCCCAGGAAGCAGAGAGTAACTACCAGTGCCGCCACCATCAACTGAAAGATCTCATCCTCTCCGAAATGCAGCAGCTGACAAACTACCCTTTGCTGCTGGATAATATTATCAAACACACTGATGGTATCTCGGTCTCTACATATTTATGTGTGTGCTGGGAGAGGGAGGAGAGTCGTATCTCCTACAATTTGAATGTTATGCTTTGTGACCTTTGGATGTTGTGGGCTACATGGAGCGTAGCCTATTGTGGAAAGTGAATACACACATCAGTGATGATGGTACAGTATACACACCTCTCCACTGCTAGTATTAGCAGATGGTGGGGCTGCAGGGTTGCAAGGGTTGTTCAGAGGCCAACTTTCTTATGAGAAAACAAGGATTGCTTGGGGTTATGTATTCCTACCGCAGTGCTGCTCATCTGCCCAAGGTCGTTTTTCTTTTAAATGCAGTGTTGTGTCTGTTTTGTGTTGGGAACCACTTAGGGACCACCCCTGTGTTTCCAAAGCAGCCTCCAAGTTTTTGGTAAATAGAAACAAACTTTAACAGCAGCATGACAGCCCATCTCTCTCTCTCTCTCTCTCTCTCTCTCTCTCTCTCTCTCTCTCTCTCTCTGCACCTTCTTTGCTTAGGGCAGTCTTCAGAGCACCAGAAGCTGTGCCAGGCTAGGGACCAATGCCGGGAAATCCTTCAGTGTGTGAAAGAGATTGTGAAGAAGGCCGAAAACCATCATCGCCTGGAGACCTATCAGATGTGTTTGGACACCACCTCGCTGCAGTGGACCACCAACACACTGGCAGCGGAGTTCAAGGTATGGCCCTCCCCATACCTTCTGCCTGAATTCCTGCTTTTATATTACTTCCCCACTCTTCAAAACACTGCCTTTTTTTGTCCCGTCTGTCCAGAATATTGACCTCCGGAGTCATTGCCTGATCCACGAGGGCCCCTTGCGCTGGCGCCTGCGCAAAGACAAGACTGTGGGTACGTGACTGTCAACCTCACCCCAACCAACACACAAATGTGACACAGGCCTCTCATAGTGAAGATTTGTGTGCAGTTCCTCTCTCGCTGACTTTGTTTATATCCCACTTTTAATAGTAATCCAAGTGGGGCAGCCCTGTGGCTTGGTGGTAGAAATACTCTTTGAGCCCCAAACCCTCAAGAGAGCCATTGCTGCCAGTCAGACAAATAATAATAGTAATAGTAATAATAATAATAATAGTTTTATTATTTATATCCCACCCTTCTGGCTGGGTTTCTGAGCTAGATGAACCAAGCAGCTTGCAGAAAGTTTGACAGAACAAAGCAATTTTAGAACAAGACCCCGAAAAACAACTAAAGCACCAGCTGTTGAAACATCAAAACCTCCAATAGTGTTTGAAATTCTAAAGCAACAGGCCACAGATTAAAAGACTCTCCCAGACAGGCTACCTTCAGAAGAAGGGCCTCCTAGCTTGGTGACAGAGCACCTGATTTGCATGGAGAAAGTCCCGGGTTCAATCCCCAACAGCATCTCCAGGTCAAGCTGGGGAAAAGACTTCCTGCCTGAGATCCTGGAGTGCCATTGCTGCCAGTCAGTGTGGACATTACTGAGCTAGATCAGTGTTTCCCAACCACTGTTCCGCGGCACACTAGTGTGCCGCGAGATGTTGCCTGGTGTGCCGCGGGAAAAATTAAAAAATTGAAAGATTATTTTTTTTTAAGTCAAATTTTCGATTGGGGCGCCGTCACTAGATGACCCCTGGGGTTCCCTCCCTCCCTCCCGCTCTGCGCCTCCCTCCTCCTCCTCCTCCTCCTCCGGGGAGGCCCTTCCTGGCTCTCGGCCAAGGCTTGGCGGCTGCCACTCACTCACTTGCTCGCCCACCCGTCCCTCCATCCCTGCACCCGGCCTCTCCCCCTCCGTCCCCGGCGCGGGGGCTGCCAGGATCCGTAGTCCCCTTGCCCTTGGGCTCCGCGCCCGCGCGGGGTGCGCAAACTACGTTTCCCAGCGTGGCCTGGCGGGCCGGGCATTTTGTTTGAAGCGCTCTTCTCCCGGCCATGGAATGAGCGCAGCGGCGGCGGCCGGGCGGGCAGGGGCTCTTCCGCGCAGACCCCGCGCAGCCTGCCTGCGCCCCCCAGAGATCGGGCGGCAGGATGGAGCCCGGGGATCCCCGCGGAGGCGGAGGCTGCCACCCAGGTAGGGCTGCGTCGGGGTTTTTTTATTTTTGCAATGCTGCATCCGCGCCGGAGGGGACGCATCGGACCGCGGGGAGACCCCTTGGCGGGCGTGCAAGGCAATGCATGCGTGCAGGCGTTGCATGGAGTGCAGTGCAATGCAATGGCAACGCGGCGCCCTGCATGCATGCATGCAACTTCCACCGGCGCTCCGGACTTGGCAGGTGAGGGGGGTCCCCAGTGGGCGGCAGAGAGAGCCGGGAGGGCGAAGGGGAACCGGGGGGGAGCAGCGCTGCTCCCCGAGCCGAGCCTGGGGGGAAACTTCGGCGTCGTTGCGCCGGGTGTTGGAAGCGGAGGCTGGCGGGGGCCCCTCACCTGCAAAACCTGGTCGCCTCTCATATATTTCGTGCATTGCATTCATCGCCCGCTTTCTCCTCCAAGGAGCTCCCGGGGGCGCGCGTGGTTCTCCCCGTGTTATCCTCGCAACAACAGCCCTGCGAGGTGGGTCAGGCGAGTGGCCCAAGGGAGCACCCAGGGATTGTCCTGGCCAGGTGGGGTGATTTGAACCCTGCTCTCTGCCCGGTCTTCGTCCTCATTTAGCCCCCACATGTGCATGACTGTGCATGACTGAGGTTTTCCCCCCTCGTCTTGGCTATGGTGTGAGTCTGTGCTGTTAATTAATGGGGTTCTGCCTTCGGAGAAGATGAGCCAGCCCTCAAGGAGGTGATTATGTAATTTGCTAGCAATTCATGTCCCTCCCGGCGTGACGCTGCGCGCTGACGTCACGGGGCTGTAATGGTGGTGTGCCTCGAGATTTTTTTCATGAAACAAGTGTGCCTTTGCCCAAAAAAGGTTGGGAAACACTGAGCTAGATGGACCCCAGTGGCCTGAACTGGTATAGGCAGTTCTTCTCACTAGTTGGGCCTTTGAACTGATTCTGCAGCCAAACTCTCCTGATGTTCTTATCTAGATACACGGAGCAGGTTAGCCACTCCAAAAATCTCTGCCTCTCTCTTAGACTTGCACGTGTTGCTGCTGGAAAATCTCCTGCTGCTCCTGCAGAGGAAGGATGAGAGACTTGTTCTCAAGTGCCACAGGAAGAGGGTGTGGGGCTCCTCAGGCACTTGGCAAACGATCAGCCCCGTCCTCAAGCTGAATGCAGTGCTGATCCGCACCGTGGCCACAGGTAAATTGGGATAAAACCACATTTCCTCATTTAAAGGTTATAAGCTAGACAGGCCAGCCCTGGCGTGTTGCCTCTTTCTCCATCTTGTCTCTCCTCTCTGTCCAGATCCGCGAGCTTTCTTTGTCATTTGCACATCAGAACTGGTACCCCATCTGTATCAGCTCGTTGCCTCAACACCTTCAGAAAAGAATATGTAAGATTGTTTACCTGTTGTTTCCCTCACAATTCTGGAGCAGACATTTCTTTGTGGGCGTGGCACATTTACAGTTCCCACTTTCCTGCTTTTTCAGTCATGAATATTTGTTGCTATTCCACTGTTTGCTGTCCAGTTGCAGGCAGAGCTTGATGGAATGTATCCAGGATGTGTTTTGGAGTTGTTTTTACTAACCAGCCCTCTGCCTTGCCTTGTCCCGTTTCCTGCTGGCTTTTTCCATTCTGGGCAGGTGTCCAACTATTTCTGTACATGTGCACACACACCTGTGGTTGTTGTGTTTTTTAAAAAAGTGTGTGTGTGTGTGTGTAATTGTTAATATCATATTTTATTACCTGCCCTTCACCCTAAGGTCCTAGGGTGTGTGTTACAACAGAGCACAATATTAATAGCGGTTTAAAACAATTTACAGTCACACAAATCAGGTGGGTCCCAAAAATATCCAGGCAGACAGACACAGACACAGATACAAATGTAAATATAAATATAACTGTAAATATATATATATAATATATATATATATATAGATATTGGTACCCCCTCCCCCAAATATGCTGCTGAGATTAATATGGGGCCTCTCTTTAATGTCTGCCTTTCTAATGACAAATCATAGCTATTCCATTCTTTTCGGGGGCTTTTAGTGAGTCTTTCTCTTCCCCTCTCCTCTTTTCCTGGCAGGTGGATAGAACTTCTGGAAGAGGCAGTAAGGCGCGCCAAGGGAAATGCCACCTTGCCCTCAGGGAATCTGAGATAATATTAACTTCACATGTAATAAATTAAAACCACAGAGCTTTATTAGAACACCCTTTTGCATTATTCTACGGACTTTATAAAATGGCGACAGCGGCAGGGGTGGGGGGATCTTTCTGTTGTACCATCACCAATTACCCTGCTCCTCAAACACCGTTCCTGCTACTAGTTAAGGTCAATGGGATGTCAAGAGCCGTTTTCTCATAGCTTTTCTGGGCCAACTGAGGTTATCAAAACAGAATTCTGCAGACGGTAACAAGAAAATAAAGGAAGTTGTATCTTTCTTGCACCTCAGCAGCATCCCCCCATGCCTCAAATTACTGCATGAAAAGTTCTGACTCCTTTTACCAATTGTAACTCTTTGAGGCAGAGAACTATTTGCCTCTGTAAACTGTAGGGCACATTAACTATGCTTCATAAATAATCTTTTAAAAAAGCATCAGAGTTAAGAAAAACACAATGTGTGTGAAGTTGTCCCTAATCTCACACCCTTTTGGAGTCTGATAGATTGGAGTTTTACATGGATTACAGGTTGCCAACTTTTATTATTTGCCCGTGCACCTATGCTTTCAACCACAGCTTGATCTGCTGGCGTTAGCAAGGTGTTCAAGCTAACCTTTCATGTCATTGGAGGGGGGATTCCCTCTCAATTCCTTTAGGCCAGTGTTGGCCAAACTTGGGTCTCCAGCTGTTTTGGACCACAACTCCCATCACCCCTAGCTAACAGGACCAGTGGTCAGGGATGATGGGAATTGTAGTCCCAAAACAGCGGGAGACCCAAGTTTGGCCAACACTGCTTTAGACCAGCCTTTCTCAACCTGTGGGTCCCCAGATGTTGAACTACAACTCCCATCACCCCTAGCTAGCAAGGCCAGAGCTCGGGGATGATGGGAGTTGTAGTCCAACAACATCTGGGGACCCACAGGTTGAGAACCACTGCTTTAGACAGATGAAGCCACTGTTAAATGCGCAGGAGCAGGCTGGGCCACTTCCCCCTCAACAGTTGGCAACCCACCACGGATTGAAGCCGTGTCGGTTGTGTAATGGGGGCTGGGGAGGGATGTCCCCGGTATAAAGCAGAAATAGCCAAGTAAATGCAGCACCTGAGCACCTCGGGTCACAGCTCAGACACTAATCCGCTTCAGGCGGTGGGTGAAAGACTAGTGGGATTGTGGGGGGACCCGGATCCCCATTTGTTAATTGCCTCCAAGCTGCTAGTAATCCAGATAAGCAACGCTCTGGGGGAAGATCAGCTAAATCCCTGAAATGCAACTGCTCTCACGCCACCCTGCTCCCCCTCCCCCAATTCCTCAGTCTTCTAAGGCTCTTGCACAACTCTAGAGACACTCCATAGCTGTAGGGTGATCATGTGCAAATGTAGCACACAGACAGAGGGTCCGGCCTCACTGCCCCTTTTATTCCTGGGAGGAGGCAAGCTTTGTTCATTGAGCAGTTTGGGAGCCCTTCTCATCTTGGGCCCTTTTTACTGCAGTTCTTTGCACATTTGTGATTTGCACGTGCAAAAGAAACAGAAATTACTATGAAAATAGAATCGCAGTGCAGGAATCACAGCTGAGGATTCCCTGACAGATGCCCATCCAACCTGTTTAAAAGCCTCCCATGAGATTGCGTGGTGAGTTTTACTGCAGTTCTGGTTTCTTGCTCTTTTTTTTTTTTTAGGTTAATGGACATTTTACAATGACTCCTAATTTTAACTGTTTTTTCTCCTCTTAAAGACGTTCCAGATGAAGCTCCGCTGGATCAGGCCAGTGGCCCATCTAGTCTAGCATACTATTCTCACAGTGGCCAGCCAGTTGCCTCTGGGAAGACAGCAAGCTGGAACCAAGCACAACAACAATTCTCTTTTCCAATGGTTTCCAGCAACTGGTACTTAGAGGCATTTGCTGTGCCCAACAGTGGAATGGAGTATCCTGGGAAAGGGCATGGCTGGAAGACTGAGCACTCCACCCTGCAACATTGCTTGCAGAATTCACTTCTCTTGGCAAATAATTTGTACAAACAGGGTGCACCAGACCTAGATATATTGGGAAATCTGATATAGGGGGAAGAGGAACCTCTTAGTAACAGAGATGAGAAGAGGATATTGCAGGTGCAGAGAAAGGCCCAGTGCATGCTAGGAAACCTGAAATCACACCATGGGTGAGGAAAACTAATAATTAAAAAATAATACTACTTTATTGAGAAACAGGTTGCACAAACAGGCACAGCGACAGGGCTCACAAGGCGCTAAGGTTGGTCTCAGCCACTGCAGTTTCAAGGGAGGTTTGGGAGGTGAGAATAATCCCACTATCCATATCCATGGCATAATAGTCCTGCTTTGCCAAAGGACTGCTGGTGATTTTGGGGTAACTGGATGATCTGTAAAGTAATTCTGAATAGTCCCTGAGAGAGTAGTTCACTTCCTCGAAGTACCTCTTCCCAATGGGCTTGTCATTGGCATGTGCCCATGACCCCTCTGTAGAGCTCTATGGCCCCTTTGGCTGATGGGCACAGTTCCTTCCAAAAGTCCCCGCTCTGCTCCATTGTCAGGACATCCTGCACAGAGAAAAAGGCAGCCATATGTTAAAAGAGATGCAGAAAATGGGGCTGACACTTACACTTTTTGTCCTGTCTAGTTATTTTACTATATCGGGGGTGACAGGGTCACAGTGCCTTGGCATGCAAAAAGGGGGACGATGAACTTCATTTTAATGTATTCTAATTAACTCTAAATTGAGTCCAGAGGAGGCATATGTTTCTTTAAAGGGGCCTTAGCACTTGCCAATGGGGAAGCTAGGAGGTTCCTGTATGCTTAGATGGCTGGCTGTCCAATCTTACCAATATAAACTAGGAATTGGGTCCCAAGAATTATGTGCATAATCAGAGTTCAAGGACAGCTAGGCAAAAAATACTCAAGGAGGGTGTGTAAGGCAGGGCCAGTGAGGGGGTGTGGCTTAGGAAGAAGCCTAAGGGCCAGACAGAGAGGCCTGGAGGGCCGTATTTGACACCCAGGTCTAAGGCTGCCCACCCTCGAGCTACACACTTTTGCCTCCAGCTCCAGCACTTACCTCTCTGTCAACAAAGATGATGCTGGTTGACTCTTGGGCCTCAGGGCCCCCGATAGCATAATGGTGACTCACCTGCTCAGAGTTGAGACTGCACCTGAATTAATTAATGAATAGCAAAGTTGAGAAGAAAGCAACCAGCGAAGCTGAGGGTGGGCTTAGGGACTAGGAGCTGAAGACTAAACTGGGGAGACTTTGGGCCTGGAGAAAGAGGTGTCCATGGCAGGGCCCACACTGTGGGGTAAAGGAGGAAGAAGCTGAGGCTGTACCCTGATGGGGCAGCTGAGCTGCAGGACAAAGAATGGATGAGCCTCTATTGGGTGGGGCTCAATAGAAGAGTTTCTAATATTGAAGGGCAAGCTGTCTCCATACATACTTATGTACCCATGCATTGTGATCTACAGAGGGCCTTCGGTGGATGCCACCACCATCAAAGATGAGGCAGATGTATACCAGAGAGAGGGCCTTCTTAGTGGTGGCACCCCAGTTGTGGGACGCTAACTCCAGGGTGATTTGGCTGGCACAGCTACCTTATTCTCCTTTCAGAGCCTGGCAAAGATATTTCTTTAGGGTTGTTTCCTACAGTGTTGCCCCATCAGCTCATGGAATCATTTGGATATAATGCATAAAGCAAAAACATTCTTAAGCAGTAAAAAAAAATATCAATGCACTCTTCATAACTAACCACAGCTTGATAGTGAAGAGGGAGGCCTACTATTCAGATCAGGATTCAGCACATTACCTGATGTAGAATTCAGCACTGCAGCGACCTGCGCTGGTCTCGTTCCGGGCTATTCCGAGCAACATTGGGCTGCTGAGGGTGGGCAGTGGAAGGTTCACCTGGGAAGGGAAGTGGGAAGCTGGTTCAGAGTCACTCTCAAAAGCTGGTTCAGAGACGAGGGGAGGGCAGCCTAGTCATTGGCCGCTCCCCTTTCCCTGCCCTCTCCTCACCTCATCCTGGATCTCTCGCAGCACAGAGCAGAACAACTCCTTGACCACAGATTCTCCTGGGAGGTCCTGGTGACGGACAGGCCCCTCCAAGGCGGCATCTTCCATGACAACCTGCAAAGCGAGGCACAGTAAGAAGAACACAGGCCCATTCAAGGAACACAGCTCCATTCTCTATAGCCCATATGGCTCTCCAGGGTTTCAGGCAAGGAGGCTCTCTCTGCCCTACCTGGAGATGCCGGGGATTGAACCTGGGACCTTCTGCATGCAAAGCAGATGCTCTGCCTCCAAGCTAAAGTGGCAGGAGAACTTCCAAGCTGTGGTCCACCTTAATTAAGGAGATGGACTCAGGGGAGCCCTCGGGATAAGCTGCAAAGCTGATGCCTGTTATATTGCTTCTTACAATACTGAAATTTGACCCATTTGTTAACAGCAACACCCCCAAGACATAAAACCAGGCACTCCATCAACCTGCGGTTCAGGGTGGCCTCCAGGAATGTCGATCTTCCCAGGCGCCTCCCCTACGCACTGACTCCGCCGCAAAAAGACAAACTTGTCATCTGCTGTGTGCAGCATGGCGCCCACCCCCAGGGGCTCGGCGAGGTAGGCCTGGCTGTTCCCCAAGTCCTTGCGCCCACGCTCCTGGAGCTGCCCGGCTGCGTCCGCCAAGTTGGTGCCCACAAAGTCCTTGTAGCAGGTGAGACCAAGGCAGAAAGTCAAGATGTCCCCTTCCAGCTGGATTGAGTGGAGACGGAATTTGGTTCCGTCAAAGAGCCATGGGCTCTGCTGGCGACGTGCCACCCAAGCTGTCTCAATCCGGGCCCTGTCGCCAGGGAGTGGGCGGCGGTCATACAGTGGGGAGAGCTCAGCTCGGACCTGAGCCTCTGTGATGCCCTTGGGAGATGGGCACTGGAAGAGGAGAGAGATATCAGGATCCATCTTCTGCCTGCTCTGTCCATCTAAGGGCACCTGGAAGATAAGAATAAAAGTTATCCACCCATATCCCCGGTCTCTTTGCCACAGTAGGATTGCTATTGTGGTTTTTTGGCTCTGCTCCTGTGCCTTTTGCAGCTGCCTGATGCACAGAAATCAGTAGGAATTAAAAATCCCAAGAGCAAGGTTGCCAACTTTTTGTATAGGCCCAGCTCCCCCGCCTCTATAAAGCAGCTCAACACACTTAAACCGTTAAATCATTTCCTGGTATGTCAGGCTGCTGTTAAAGGCACAGGAGCAGAGCCAATAAAAATCCTGACTCCTTTGTTTTAATATTCAGATCTGTGCAGCTTTCTCCCACCCCCACAGAAGAAATTGTGCCCAAGTCATTAAAAAACAGCACCGATAGGAAGTAGTGACTACGGGTTAGAGCAAGGACCTCTTGGCTCCCTATCGCCCAGGAGGGCGTGACATGAAGTATGCACTTTGCACAGAAGCCTGCAGTTCTCACATGCAACCCTGACTCTGCTTTGGGGTTCTTTTGACTTTTGAGATTTAAACGCACTTGGAAACTTGGCACCCCAAGGGTTAACAAGGACCACAAAGATAAATCTAAATCAATGTCATCCTTATCCAAAAGGGAATTAGCATACTCATTAAAAATACACTAGCAAGTGTTAATTGGCACAGACACTGAATTAACAATAAGCCAAGTC